CCATCCCCACCCTCCCCTCCATCCCCACCCTCCCCTCCATCCCCACCTTATCCCTGTAACTCTACATTTCCCATGGCTAATCCACATAGCCTGCACATCCTGGGACGCTACGGGTAATTTAACATGGCCAATCCACCTAACCTTTGGATTGTGGGAAGAAACCGGAGCACCCAGAGAAACATGGGGAGAACATGCAAACTCCACACAGACAATCGCCTGAGGAATCGAACCCAGGCCTCTGGCGCTGTGAGGCAGCAGTGTTAACCACTGAGCCATGCTGCATCTTACAATGCACATCGCTGACCTCCAACACCATGACTGAGGGCATATGAGTGAACAGGGCAAAGTTCACATCCCCATCACATCTGTTATAGAGCCATACTGGCTCTAATGGATGGTGCATGTTTTTATAAACAGTACGCAGCAAGATCTGTGTCATGGTTACAAATACAGCATTCCTTTAAAGTTGTATGTTAATATAAACCACAATTATGTGAATTGAGCTCTGAATTCAACCACTATGATCAGATCCAGTGATAAAGCGATAAAAATAATTGTGACTTCAGTGTCAGGTTTTGGCTTGGCAGCAAGGAGGCGCTGATAAGATACGAAGTGACATTGGCTAACATCTCATTACTGTGTTGGCACTATAACATCATCATGCTATCAAAATTAGTTTCAAAAATGCAAAGGATATCACTCCAGTCTAGTTAGACCTCTGCTCAGCAACTGAGATAAATGAACTCTTTATGTGGTTTACAGGCAGATGATATATCACCAACAAATTGTTATGGCTAATGTGTCCATCACGGTGTTTTTACTCCACAAGAACCATCTCCCATTCATTTTCGTCTATATCGAACAGAACAACATGAGCTGGCCCTTCGGCCCATCAACCTGTACCGACCATAGTGCCATTCCAAACTAATTCGATCTGTCTGCACATGCTCAGTATCCTGTAATCTCTGCCTCTGAAATAATGTTATTGTATCTGCTTTTACCACTTCCCCCAGCAGTGTGTTGCAGACACTTACCACCCTCTGTCTAAAAAACATTCCCCTCTCCTCTCCTTTCAACTTTCATCCTCTCAACTTAAAGTTATGCCCCGTAGTGTTTGACATTACACTCTGGGGGGGGGAAAAAGACTCTGACTACCCACCCTGTCATGCCTCTCATAATATGCTTCTATCAGGTTGCCCCTCAGCCTCTGCTGTTGCAAAAACAATCCCAAGCTTGTCCAACCTCCTCTTACAGGAAATACATTCCAATCCAGGCAATATCCTGGTAAACCATTTTTTGCACCCTGTTTAAAGCCTCTACATTCTTCATATAGTGTGGTGACCAGAACTGCACACCTGTCTCCAAGTGTGGCATAAGTAAAGTTTTATACAGCTGCAACATGATTTTCCAACTTCTATACTCAATGCCCTGACCATTGAATGCAAGCATGCCATACGCAGTCTTTACCACCTTGTCCACTTGTTTTGCCACTTTCAGGGAGTTATGGACTTGCATCCCAAGATCTCTCTCTGTATCAATGCTCCTAAGGGTCCTGCCACTTACTGTATACTTTCCTCTGCATTTGCCTTCCCAAGATGTATCACCTCACACTTGTCTGGATTAAACTCCATGTGCCCTTTCTCCACCCAACTTTCCAACTGATCCATATTGTTCTGTGTCCCTTGATAATTTTCCTCACTCTCCACAGCTCCACCAATTTTCACATTGATCTACCTCATCAGTGTGTCTACTCCTTTCTGCCTTGTCACTTAAGTGTAAACTTGATAGTGGTCTTTATTATCCTTTGATAGTGGTCTTTATTATCCTTTGATAGTGGTCTTTATTATCCTTTGATAGTGGTCTTTATTATCCTTTGATAGCAAATTGTCTGCAAAGAATTATCTTAATTATCAGTTGGAGTTACCAGTGACCATCTTACCTTTATGGCTTCTAGTTCTGGACTCGCCTGCTAATGGAAATATCATCCCTCCTCCTACCAAATAAAAACGTTTTGTAGATGCGAAAATCTCTTGTTTTTTCTAGGGACACCCTGCCTTTATAAACTCAGCTGATGCAAACCCCTCTTCTGTTATCATTTCTAGTAAATCAGTTTTGCACCTTGCTCATGTGTCTCAGTCTCCTTTCGATATAATACGGTGACGAGATCTGATAACAGTACTCCACAAATTATGTCTGCTCTACTGTTTGATCCCATTAGGCATGAACACTAGTAATTTGTCTGTGCTTGGTAGCCTGATTAACCTGCACCACCACAAGTGATCTGTGCGTCTGTCAATTTAATTCTACACCCTGTTTTCACATTGACCTCTCTGTCCTCTGCCTCCTACACTATCCTCTGACATGGGCTAGAACACTGTTCAGTTCAGGGACAATTAACAAATGCCGGGCTTGCAGTGATGTCCACTGGGCTTAAAAAGTTTAAATCTTTGTTTTCCTGTTTTTCCTGCTGCTCCTAACTGGTGATGTTTCACTTCCTTCCTATTATTTTTTTCAGGAGTACGTTATTGACAAAAAGAATGTCTTTCCAGGGTTCATGCGTTTTTAAACCAGGTTCTACTTGCTTTTCTGTAATATGGATGGAGAACGAAAGTAGAAGCCCTTCACTGTGACTGTGCATCTATATGTCTTAGTCTGTCTATTTGCCTTGTGTTTTTTTTTCATTCTGTTATTTCCATGGTTTTGTTTTTCTGAGTTTTTTATCTCCTCACTCTTTATCTGTTTCCCTGTGTCCTTTGGAGCTGCCTCTTGCATGAGTTCTCCATGTGTGCCTCATTCTTGCCCCAAATTCTTCGCCAGAATTTTTTTTTATTCATTTCACGGGATGTGGCTTTGATACCTGCGAGAAATAATCCTTTCCCTTTCTTAGAAATGTTTTGGCAGTGTGAGAGCCAGCCTTTTCCTGGACAGTTAATCACTCAACTCAATAAAACAAATTATATTTGAAATTTGAGAATAGCTGCTTCATTTACCTCGGAGATTTGCCTGGACTCGGAATAAAAATTGCAACACAGGTTGTGTTTTCTGGGTCAAGTCTGATATTAAATCCTGAAAATTATTGGGAAGGGGAAGTATGCATATTTTAATATAACCCTGACCAAGTATAGGAAGTGCCACTGTAAAGCACTTACCTGCTAGTTAAGATGTTGGTGCAGTAGTATCTGGCACCATTGGTGCCTGCTCCATATTATGGATGAACATTACAGCATGTTGGCACACTGAAACTGATTTAGAAAGGTCTTTTCTATTGACTCTGTTGAAGGCCAGTTTGGACTTGGCTGTGTCTTCAGCCTTAAAGGTGAATGGTTACTTGTCAAAGATTCCTGAGGACCTGGAGCACCTGTGGAATGCCAGGTCAGTAATTTCAGAAGTGGAAGAGCCTGGGGTAAAAGTGGCAGAATGTCCAACAATCTTTGTAGCAGCAATAATTTGGCCCACTAAACCTGTGTATCGTTTTGAGAGAAGAGCCCATTTTGCACCATATACCTCAGCTTATTCTTTCTCCAGGTTTTTTTTACTTGACACCTTCAATACTGTTGGTTTATATCACCAATCCTGTAATTTATTTATTTATTAGTTTTTGGCTGCAGGAACTGTAGCTTCTTCCTTTCTTACTCCAAATTTGTGTCCTTGGATATGTGATCCCCTCATGATAGGAAGTTGTCTGCCACCTCGGAATGTTCTTCAAGATTGTCTTGGAACCATCTGAGGAAATCTTCTGAGCCCAACTCCGTTAACGTTCCCTCGAAACAGATTACAAATGCATTAAGTAGTTATCGTGATTCACTTTTTGGGTTTGACTCTCCATTTGTAATGAGTGTCTACAAGGCTGGGGGAGGTGGTGGAGGGTAGAAACCAAGACGCTTTATACATCGGAGTGAGTGTGGAGTGACCGAGCTGTGCTCATGTTCTCTTTTCATTTCTCAGCAACTCTGCTTCAGAAGAATCCAACCACTCTGCCTCAGGATCAGAATCAGGCAGTCAGTCGGAAAGTGAGCAAGGAAGCGAATCCAATAATAGCAGTTCGGAATCATCGGAATCGCAATCTGAATCGGAAAGTGAATCGGCAGTGTCCAAGCTGCAACAAGCTGCCACGGAGAACAAGGACAAGCCACTGAGTAAGAAGGAGAGGATAGCGGATGTTAAAAAGGTACCTTTTTAGAGAATAACTGGGAGTTTGCCACCTCCATTATAATTAAGATATAAGAGCTCAGCGTGGTCTGCTGTTCTCATAGAGAAGGATAGATTGTCTTTGTATTATTCATGGAATTTTCTTGTGTTTAGCATATCCTAATAAAACTAGTATTTAATGATAAGGCGGTGATAAATTCATTGAAAATCTCAGGTATTTTACCACAAATAAAAAACTGAGTTCAATTTGAGAAACTAAACTGTGCAGTCATCTATCACAGAAAGCTTTGGGCAGCCTGCATCTAAAAATATAGAAGCCTTAACTATAAGCAGCTCTGGGGATGTGGAAGAACCTCAGCATTCACTGCCTGTTTCTTCCACAACTCTGTGCTGTCTACTCACTAGCCAGGAGAGAGGTTCCCAGTCTACAATTTTCTTTTTATTAATTCATTCACAAGATGAGGGCATAGCTGGCTAGTCCAGTATTTAATGCCCATTCCACAATTGCCCAGAGGGCAATTCAAAGTCAACCACATTGCTGTAGGTCTGGAGTCACATGTAGGCCAGACCAGGTACGGAGGGCAGTTTCCTTCCCTAAAGGACTTTAGTGACCAGATGCAGTTTTTCCCCAACAATCTGCAATGGATTCATGGTCATCAATAGACTCTTAGTTCTAGATTTTTATTTATTGAATCCAAATTCCACTATCTGCCATGGTGGGATTCGAACCGGGTCTCTAGAACATTACCTGGGTCTCAGGATTAAAAGACCAGCAATAATACCACTAGGTCACTGCACTCTGTGTCTGTGAGCTTTGTCTGTACAAGTGCTCTCTTCAGCTTAAGCTGAAAGGTCAGTGACATGAACATGCCATTGAGTGCTGACATGTTTCTTACAAAGTGAGCCCATCATGTGCACACTTGTGTTGCTGTTATTTAAGGTGCTGTGAATGCTGACCACAGGCACTAGAAAATCCTGAAGGAAGGAAAAGAATTGCCTGATCAGAGCATTTTCCCAAGATGAGCGGTATTTGGCCCACAACATTTGGACTGGAAAGTGGATATACATGGAATTTTGGCGAGGGCAAATTTGGATTTCTCCCTGTTCCACAACCTGGAATCCCTGATACAGTTACCATGGCGAGATTCTCATGAAAAGTAACCACCTATTGCACAATTCGAAAATTATCACATTAAGAGGCAGTGAGCTTTCCAAAAAGTGGTTCACTTCCCAAGCAATCTCAGACTTCTGCAAAAGAAAATCCACATCTTCAATACCTCTTTTCCAAAGTTGTCATGGCTTTTCATTGGAGTGCAATTATTAAGTGCATGTTGCACCTCACTTGCAGTAAAAACTAGTAAAAATTATATAATTGTAAAACATTAATAACATTGCACCTACAGTAAAAAATTTTTAGAAACAGTGTGGGTTAATTCTGTTCATTCTGCAGTGGAAACGGCTTTCTCAGTTTGCTAATATTGGAGCAAAGTTTGGGTAACCCAAACCCTGATCATCATCTGCTCTGTTCACTTTTGGCGTTGCCTGCATTTTGATTTTTGGGATCTCAATCGTGTAATAAGAAGCCCTGCCTCTGAAAGTTGGCCTGAGCAACCACAGGTGATGTTTGAGATGGGGCTTGGGTAGCTGTGAGAAGGGCGTGGTTTCAAATCACGTGGCATGCATGACCTAGTATGGATTTCTTGTCATTTGCATTGTGAAGAGAAGCTTCTGCCACTTAACACCATGAAATCAGATCAATTTCTCTGAGGTTTGTTCCAGATAGAAGAAAGGGTTTGATAAAAACAGTTTAACACTGAAATGTGCCTGAATGATCTCAGAATGAAAATGACATATTTTTAGTGCCGGGAATTGGTCTCAGGAATACTTTGAGGGGATAACCTTGTTAAATTTCCTGCCGTTGTTTCTCAATCAATGCTCAAAGAAATAATGATGGACCTGTGAAATTTATGTATGCAATGGCTGTTTCCTCTTCATTTCAGGCTAAGTCATGATAGTTCTGTACTGTGATCGTTTGTGACACAGTTGCAAATTTTGATCATTCAAATTCAGTTTCTTTGTAGAGAGGGCCTATTGTCAGGCATTGCAACTTCATGAAGTGCTAGAGGTGGTAATGATTTGAGACATGACCACGGCATTAAAACTTATTGGCATAAGGGCACTTTTCATATAACTTACTGGTGTTGATATTTTCTGTATTTGACCATTTTCTTAAAGTTATTTGGATCCCAGAAGTACATCAGTTTGCACAACAGTTGTTGTCTTTTTTGTTTTCATGGTAGAACTGTTTTACTTGAAAATATAAATAGTTCTAAATAGGATATCCTCAAACAGTTCTAAAAATCCTATTTCAAACCGTGGTTTTCTTAATATTCTAACTAACTAAGACATGTTTTTAATTTTTCTATTAAACTGTAGTATAATTAAAGTGGTGGGAGGGTGCAGGCCTTATGGTGGTCTGTTTATATTGCAGATGTGGGAAGAATATCCAGATGTTTATGGGGTTAGGAGGTCAAACCGCAGCAGACAGGAACCGGCTCGACTTAACGCTGGACCTGGGGTGAGTAGTGGAGAAAATTGAGTATTTAAAACTGAGCATTCAGTGACCACCTTCATAATGACAACACATAGTCATTTCCTAACATTTTCTGTGAAGGTTTAATACCAGCAGTAATGGTTGGAATTTTTTGAATCTGTTGTAACAATTGAAGGGATTGCGCTACATTATTAGTGTAGAGTGCAGTCATAAAAGTTTTATGTTAAGCCAGCATCTACCACAGTAATATGCCCTTAAGTCGGTGCCCTCATCCTTTACTTTATTCCCATTCTTCACAATGCAGCTAATAGGATTTCTTTCTTCACTTTGCTGCACTCATTTGTTCCCTCTCCCCCATTCCTGTCCTGTCCAAAGCTCTCCAACATAGTTTTCTTCTGTAGGTAGAACCCGTTTCACAGGCATTGTATTCTCTGATTTATCTCCCAAGTGACCATATTCTTCGTGTGGAACTAGATGGAGCACTTTGACTGCCAGAAGTCTAGCAATTTCATCTCCCCCTTTTCCTCCGCGGAAGGAAGCGTGGAAGCCCGTTGCATCACTTTCTCTGCTACCCTGGTTGCAGTCCACCTCCTAAGCACGGGCAGAGATGAAGTGTTACATCTCTGATCTGTACGATTTTTAAACGTCACAGTGAACTTTATTTTGTGTGTTGAGACATACAGGAACCCAAGTTGGTTCTTATCTCGATTATTCCTCAATCTGACAATTCAGCACCGTCTCACTGCAGTTTCTCATCTGAAGGTCAACTTTTCCACCACCAAGTTCGCAAGCCTCCTTTTCCTCCTCTTCCTCCCCTTCAGTAGGTAAGGTACTCATGGTAGGATTCCAGTCATACTTTGGGTGACCAGTTGTTTGTGAGTCATCATTCAAACATAAATGGGAAAGGAGTGTAAACCTTTAATGGATAAGGACAGACATTCTATGTTTAGTAATACAGTTCTACTCTGAAGCTGCTCCTCAGTGTGAAATGTATGGGACACTAATAACTTTAATAACTTTTGTTGGTTAAGTGTCAAATTGCCTCATTGATGCAATCTCTGGATTCTATCTGCACAATGCTTGCCTCTCTGAAGCATTTATGTAGCACCTCAGCACATCCCAGAGAACTTCCAATGAACCAGATTACTATTTTAAGTGCAGTCTCTGTTACGCAGTTTACTCTTCTGCACAGATCTGCTTCTTTTGCAGTCTAACCTTCAACGAAGTAGTTGGCCGAATTCTTAAGTAATTTTCTAGGACCTGATCCCATGTCAAGTTCACCTGATCTGCCTGAATCAGTGTTTGAAGAGTTTGTTTCCAGTCGTGGGGAGATTTGCTTTTTGGTAAAGTGCTTTTTTTTCTAAAAACGAAATCTTATCAACTTATGAGCGAGAAACTAACAAACAGCCTTAGAACCGAGTTTGGTTGTGAAACGTTTTCTTTTAAGTACGCTGTAGGGAAGGATAGGTTTGCAATCAGAATGCAGCAGTTCTGCGGATTTATCTGAGAATTTTATCATAAATTTTAAAGTTGCAGCAGATGCATTCTGTGTGCAGTGATTGTTCAAAGGGGACATATTTTTTGAGTCAAGTTACTTTTAAGATACTCTCCCATTGGGAGGTGAACTGCAGAAGTTCACTTTTTTTTAACCCTCGCTCATGGTTTGGTTTTTCACTGTTTAACCCCCTTAGTCTTCACCTTTGTACAGTGTCAGACCAGGTTTTCATGAAACGGCAGAGCTGCTATCATGAAACTGTTTGTTTGTGTCAACAGAGTGGCTTGGAGTGTGCAGAAACCTGAAATTAATGGGAAGGTGGGGGTGTTGGAATCTGGTTTCGGAGATGCGGATGACAGGTGAAAGAGAATGGGAACAGAGTTGAGCAAGAGCCACTAACTTGCAAGAGGCACACTACATAGATAGCGATTTTGTCAATGTACTGAGTTTTGATGAGGAAGCATCCAGTGTATTGTAAGTGCTGCCTCTCCTACAAGAATGTCCATTGGAGCAAAACGTTCATCAGTTTGCTCTGTATCCATGAAGTTTGCTGAGGTGATGTTCAGGGATAAGGGTTGGGAGATTGTACATGGGTGTAGGGGGAAAATGGGCTGCAACACTGATGTACAACCTTTCCTTTTCAAACAGAGCAGTGAAAACTCTGAGAATGAGACTGTCGGGCGACGAGGAAGGAGGAGAGCTGCTAAGTGAGTCCTTCAGATATGTGCATGCTGATGAGCTTGTGTTGAATGTATGTGATATAATTGATAGCAGGGACCAAGTATGATCTCTTGTGTTCTCTATCAGTTTTGTGTGGGTTCTGGTGAATGGGGCACATTTAATTTCAGGCAGCCAGTGTCTACATCAGGTACTTTCAGGTCAGACGCAGGATAGGCTAAATGAACATTTGTTAAATGTTAACCCATCAACCAGGCTGACGTTGGGATTAGCTGAGATTAAATGTGTAGCATAAGGCTCTTTTTCTTTGTATTTGCAATGTCCCTCATGAGAAGTTAAGTGATGTGACCCCAGCTGCTGCTCAGACATTTGCACCAGGGAGATGCATTTGAGCAGGATCTGGGAAGGTCATCACCCTTTTCATGCAAGATTAAGAACCTCTTTGTCTTATCTAAGAGTGTGCAATATGTTGCTGTCGGTATTGCAACATGTTAAACGGGTAAAGGCAAGTCGCTATTGGTTCAAATTTGCTAGAAATCCTATAAATCTGCTGTAATATATTCCAATTTAAATGGCCCCTTGCAAAGTCCAACTGAGGCTTCTCATCCACGAGTGATTTTCAAAGGGATTCTCCAGATTGGTGATAATTTGGAATATAGATAGAAATTTACGGAAGTATACACGACAAAATGGTCAAAATATGAAAGGAGTAAAAACAAAATTGAAATGTTCTCTCTCTCATATTGACTGATATGAGTACGTGCAGCATTTTCTGTCTTACTCCTGCTTTTGTTTAAAGGTCTGTCTTGTGGTATTGGCAGTGAAACAAATTGTTGTAAATATGTGCGTATTGAGCCAAGTAAACATGCACCACATTAACTGCGTGTACAGGCTCCCCCCTTCTCCCTGCTAAACTGTATTTCATTACTGCAGTGCTAAGGTGGGCCCAAGACAGACATTCCTGTTTGTTCATTTTGACCGATGCCGTGTCTTTGCATTGTGGCTACTCTCACGTGTAAGTAAATATTTGATTGTCTGTGTCAGCTGGAAAAGTGCAGTATCTGAGAATGAAGATGAGGAGGAGGAAAAAGAAGGTGAAGATGAGGAGGAGGAGGAGGAGGAGGAAGATGAAGATGAGGAGGAGGAAGAAGTAGCTAGCAGCGCTGAAAGTGAGCCTGAAAGAAAAGTCCGAGCCCGTCGACCAGTTACCAGAAGGTGAGCTTGGGGCAGTATTGTTTGTAAAAACCAAAAGAACTCTGAATGCTGGAAATCAGAAACAAAAACAGAAATTGCTGGAAAAGCTCAGCACATCTGGCAGCATCTGTGGAGAGAAATCTGAGTTAAAGTATCAGGTAGAGTGACGCTCCTTAGAACAGATTTTTCTCAGATTTCTCTCCACAGATGCTGCCAGACCTGCTTGAGATTTTCCAGCAACTTCTGTTTTTGTTGTTGCAGTGTCTTTTGTGCTTGTTGCAGTGAATTTTGTTAGGACAACTGTACATCATTGCACTGTTCATAACCATTTTTTTCAGATTTCTGTTGATTTTGAAAATAATTATTGGAGGCTTTTCTCACCTCCCAGATGGTTTTTTGCTGACAGTTGACTTGGAAAAGCTTTGCTGTATGCTGTTAAATGCAAAACCAGTGGTTTTAAAGTCATTAAAAGTAATTGCCCTCCTCTGATCAGATCCTGGATTTATTTTTCAAACTGAAATCGTCAGAAGTTTGTAGTCTGTACATTTACTTTTCTCTTCAAATGGTTGTGATTCATTGTATTGTGCACTCCCACTGATTCACACACATTTGTTCCCTTGCACCCTCTTACTAAGAAACAAAGCATGATTCAGCTCAGAATTAAGCTGCTCAATGAAATGCCTAAACACGTGTTAAGTTAGCTTGAATGTGGAGAAGTACCTTTGTTCTCAGTTTGTTCTTGGAAAGTGGTCTTCACTGTCAAGGCCAACATCTCTAATTGTAACTCATAGAATCGCTACAGTGCGGAAGCAGGCCATTCTGCCCATTGAGTCCATGCCAAAGAACATCAGACGTAGATCCATCTCGTCTGGATTTACCATGGCTAATGCACCTATCCTGCCCATCTTTGGATTGGGAGGAAACACACGCAGACATGGAGAATGTGCAAACTCCACACAGATGGTTTACTGAGGATTGGGATCGAACCCGGCACCCTGGCGTTGAGGCAGCAATGCTAACAAGTGAGCTACCGTGCCGTCAGGAAGAAGTATAGATCATAACTGGCCTGTGCCAGCCCTTTGGAAGAGCATTCCATTTCACTACAATTTCACTGTTCTTCCTGCATGGCCTCACAAATTCTCTTCCAGTTATTATCTAGTTCCCTTTTAACGATTGCTGTTGGATCCATCATTTCCAAATAATAACAAATCATTTTTTCCCCCCTCCTTTTGTGTTCCTGTTTTTTTTGGGCCAGTCACCTTAGAGCCTCAGTCTTCTGGTCACCCAACCTTCAGCCCCTGGACTAGTGTTTCTTTCCACGCTTCGCCAAACCGCAAAATTTTGTACAACTATATTAAACCACCATGTAACTTCGTGGGCTTGAAGGCATACAACCCCAATTTTGCTAGTTTATCCATGTAACGAAATCCTGCACTTCTGACACCATGGTAGTAAATCTCTGCATTCCCTCTGAAGCCCTGACGTCCTTTCTGAAATGTGCCCTGATACTGTGGCCCAACCAGTTTTTTCTTTACTGGAAATTTGATGCAATTTGTTTGCTTTTGCACTCTTGCACTACTACAGCAAACTTTGTTTTTACCTGCATCTTATCAGCAGGCTCTCTTGATGAACTGGCAAAAATTATAAAACTCAAGTGCTGCAATTCTCGAGTATTTGTGCTGTAAATCAAGTACAATAGTATTGTGTATACCTGCATCCCTTACATTTCTGTTATTTAATGTGTATTTTCACATTGATTTTAGGGGGTGTATTGACGTTTTTAAATAGATCTTTTGAGGAATGTTGGTGTCTCAAAGTTTTGCTTGGTCAGGGTTTACTCAGGTTATGTGAACCTCTTGAATGTCTGGAATATTTGATCATCCTGGTCCCATAGGTGCTGGTTAACAAAGAGTTTGCTTTATTTAAAAAATTCAGGATTCTGATGTCTTTTTAACAATCTTTTCAATTTGACCTACCATCATCCTCAGTGACTTGGGAACATAACATCCAGCTTTCTCTGTTTTTGTAGTTTCTATTATTGTAGTGTACACTGCATAATGTACCAATTCTTCTTGCTAAAGTAAATTGCTTCACATCCCCACCTGCAAGTTCTCTTTCGAAGCACTCACCATTCTGATGTGGAATTATATCGCCGTTTCTCTGCTATCGTTGGGTCCAATTCGTAGAACTCCTCCCTGAGCATCCTAATACTTGTAATCAAACTGTTCAGGACTACAGTTCAAGGTGTTATACCGTCTCCTTCTGAAGGAAAATTAGAGATGTTGGCTTTGCCAGCAAAGTCTGTTTTCCAGGAACAACTTAAGAAAGATAGTTCTCTGCATTAAATTTCTTATGCCATTTGTTTAGCCATTTCAGTGGTCTCTGAGAGACCTCTGGAGCCTGTCACTAGCCTTCTCACTTGTTGCTGCACTTGCAAATTTTGCCACCTGCAGCTTTTGGGATTATATCCTGAATACTTTTCTCCACATTATTAATAATGCATCAAGAAGGCACAGGTCCCAAATTGACCAATAGGAAACGCCATCGTGGGACCTCAGACCAATCTGCGAATGAAAGAAGAGCACGGTGACCTTAGCAATAGGCTGTCTATGTGTTAGTAATACTCATTGTTTAGGAATCTCTGTCTACTGACGATTGTAATTTTCCTAGACCGCCAGCCAGGACTCAAGGTAAAAGGCAAAAGACTCGGAGGGGAAAGAAAAGGAGAAGGGATTCTTCTGACGATGATGACGATGACGACACTCCCAAACGCCAGACCCGCAAATGTGTAACTAAAAATGTGAGGTTAGTGGAGTCTGTAACTTAGTCTGAAAGTCCTTCTAATCACCTTTGAAAATTTCAATGTGAACTGAGTAAGTCATCGTCAGGGGTCAGTGAGATTAAATCAAACTTTGCTGGAGATGCTGATGGGGTGTGTATTTTTCTTATTGGTCAGTGAGCTTAGAATGAGAAATGTCAATGGCAGGTAGACCCCAATGGCACAATCCTTTATCAGATTCTAAGTGTCCCAGTGAACCGTGCTTACACGCTTGTGAAGTCTGTAGCCTTGGTACGGTTCTGTTGCTTAGCTGCATTGGTGTGTGCAGTTCACTTGTGTGAAATTTATTCCTATGTCGTACCACTGTAGTTGACAACCGGGGACTCCACTGCCCTGTCTGACAGATCATTTTGACTAATTAGTGTCAGGAGGTTGCTCTTGTGGTTTTTCTCATATATATGTAGCTCTTTATTCATATCCAGTATTCTGAATATACCTTACCTGGGCCATTTCATGCTTGCTGTTTTAATTTTTTTTGGTTGGGATTGGGTTGAAATTGGTCAGTTATAAACTCATTCAATGTCTGGAATAGATAATAACTAGGAATTGTCTCGACAGATATGGCACTAAATGGCCACTACACCTGGTAGAACTGCATCCATCGACCTTTGAGGGAGAAAAGTTAGAAAAAAATACGGGAAGAACTTTTTAAGTTTACAAAGCTCATGCATAGTGAGCAATTTATTTAAATGATGCAACACTACATTCATTTTATTCCTAGTGAATGCCAGGTCTCAACCTCAAAGGGTCTTTGTCATTTTGGGGGCACTTGAGGCTTTGGCTTGAATGCACCTTACTGATACATCTCATCTTACTGCTTCTCGAGATTTGTGCCTGGACAGTTGTTAGCCCTCTAATTCAGTCCCTACCATCATGTTTCTAAGCATTTGATTCACCATGCTAATTTGAGAATAACAATGATCGCTCTACTTTCCTCACCACTTCCTGAAGTGGGAGATGAGGATCGATAATCATGGGAACTGTGCAGCAACCCTTTTCTGAGCTTAGAAAGGATTTAATTGCAGTCCCCAGGGCAGTGGATGTTGACTTTTTATAATCTGACTATCATTGTGTTTTCAGTTATAAAGAAGATGATGATTTTGAGACTGATTCAGATGATCTCATCGAAGTTACAGGCGAACCAGCACGAGAGGAGAATGATGACAGTGAAACCATTGAGAAAGTGATTGACTCCCGGATTTGGAAAAAAGGAGGTGAGATGAATGCAGAATCTTCATTTAATGTAGATAATGGTGCATCCTTCCCTGTTCTTTAAAGCACGTGGCAATAGGCCAGCTCTGGCTTTGAATTGAAAATATCCTTGAATGATAGGTTTCTCTTCTGGCTATTTCAGGTGTATAGGAGCTTTAGATTAGAACTGCTAATTTACTAAGATCTCTTCGATGTGAAAGTAGGATTTATGTTTCACCAGAGTGGGAGATACATAGATCATTTCTGCTAGAAATTTGAATATTATGGAAATAAATAACAGGCTGTGGAAAGACAGGTTGCCAGTTTGCATGAGAAATCAGTAACAGTAAAGAGTTACATTCAAATATTGACTTGGTATGCATGGTAAATTATACTGCTTTTATACAATTCCTAGTATTACTTAGGCCAAAGTTAGGCAGACAATTCAGTTTGTGTGGCTCTGTCTTGCTCAGCCCCACCTGTTTTCAATCACTCCACACCATGACCCATCACCTCCACCACCACATGGGTCTGTCTCTGGGAGCTGTACATATGAGCTATTCAGGAATTGAGCATTTTGGGGTAGATGGTGATTTTTGAATCATTTTACTGCATTCGTTTTCCTCCATTCGTTTTCCTCCACTTCCAACCCCTTCCCACTTTGCAGTCGTTGGAGCCCCAACCACCGTCTATGCAGTAGAGGCTGACGGAAATCCAGGGGCAGACTTTGATCCGGAGAAGGATGAGAAGGAAGTGCAATATCTCATCAAGTGGAAAGGCTGGTCGTACATCCATAACACCTGGGAGAGTGAAGAGTCATTGAGACAGCAGAAAGTGAAAGGAATGAAGAAATTAGAGAACTTTATCAAAAAGGAGGAAGAAGTAAACCAGTGGTAATTATATGGCTCTCTTATTAAACCCTACCTGTGGTAGAACTGGTTTTAGTGGAACCCCATCAGAACAGATTAGCTTACATCTGAGGATGTGCAAACTCCGATGGGTGTCAAATAACTTACACATGCATTTGAAGCCAAATGTAGTTTTGGAATTGTTGCTGCACTCGTTCAATGTGCTTTGCTATTTCAGGCCCACTTTAAATCATAGAATCCCTACAGTGCAGAAGCAGGCCATTTGACCCATCAAGTCCACACCGACCCTTCAAAGAGCATCCCACCCAGACCTGACCCCCTACCCTTGCCTGTAACCCTGCAATTTCCATGGCTAATCCATCTAGCCTCCACACCTCTGGACCTTTATGGGTAAGTTACCACGGCCAATCCACCTAACCTGCACATTTTTTGGACTGTGGGAGGAAATCGTGGAGACACCGAGCGAATGTGCACAGAGGCAAGTCGCCTGAGGGTGGAATCGAACCCGGGTCCCTGATGCTGTGAGGTAGCAGTGCTAGCCACTGTGCTGCCCCAAATTATGTCACCACTGATGAATGGAAATTGCCATAGCTGAGAGTCCAGCTTAACTGTGCAATGCAGATCATGAAAGGCATTCCAAAGATGCAGCTAGATTTTTAGAAGGACACCATCTGCAACTGCAGTAAATATCCTTTAAGAATGGGATGGGCCTTGTATGAATTTCCATGGGCTTGTTATTGTTTTTTTACTGACATCAGAAAACAGCAGTAATGCTGAGATCTTGTTAATTCATGCTTCAGTGGCAGTTAGTTTCTATTTGGTTAAAGACCAACAGCTAAGATCCAGGTTGCTGTTTAGTCATTAAAGCAGAAACTGTTATTCGTGGTGTCGTTCATGACCATTTGTCTATTTACATGTTCTTGGCAATTAATAGCCTTTCAGCTGAAAGGAACACACGTAGAAATTGCTGGAGTGCCTCAGAAGGTCTGGCAGCATCTGTGGAGTTTTGAAGAAAAGTCATAACAGAATCGAAACATTAACTTTGTTTTTCGTCCATAGATGCTGCCAGATCTGCTGAGTTTCTCCAGCATGTTCGACGTTTGTTTCAGATTTCTAGCATCCACTGTACTGTGCTTTTATTTCAACTGAAAGGTTTGTCTATAACATGTTATGACTCAGGTTTGAAGAATATTTTGTGTCTCTTCTCCCACACCCCCTCCCCACCACCTCCTCCTACGCCCCTGTCTCCCTCCCCCGCTTAGTTCCATTACTCCACTTGTGACAACATCGATTTAAATATTTTACCCAAAAACCTATGCAGCCGATTATGCACTTATCTATATGAGGTTTAGATTAAAAAGATCCTTCAACCTGGTTTCTTTAATAAAGGCAAATGTATTGATTTATTATTTCAATGAAGTTGCCAAATTGCTTAATTCCCTTACACAGTTGATGACATGAAAATGTAAGCATTAACTTCCCTAAATTGCCCAACACACATGCATGTGCATACCAGGTAAAGGAACACAAGAGTTTTGTATAGAAATTGACTTTGGGGGGGGGCAGAAAATACCTTTGGCCAATAATTATTATCAATTGAAGGCAAAAGGGGTGAGGTATGGAGTGTTCAGATGGGTGTTAATCTGGCATTTTCCCCTCTGAGAGGACAGGTCACTAGACACGGTTGTCTCTGGGATCTTTACATATGAGCTATTCAGGAATTATTGAGATGAGCTACCTCAGGCTTTTCAGGAGGGCAGCTGAATCAGTGTTTTATTTTCAGAAACAGGAGAGGTGAGCTAGGAAGTTTCTTCCTTCTTTCCTTCAAGTTGGTCGTGAGCTCTCTGGCAGTCATTAAACCCAGGCAGGTGATCTCCAGCGAGCAAATCAGACAATTAACTGAAACCATGTGGACCAAGAAATGTGTTTACCGTCTTTAAAAACAAATGTTCCAGTGTTCAAAGTAACCTTTCTATTTTAAAAAAAAACTGGTCCAGGTATCCACAGAACTTTAAAATAAATCAATTTTTCCATAACCTTTCAATACTCAAGTCCTAAAATAGTTATTAAGTACAAAATCTTCATCACAGGCATTTTGTGTAAGGGTAAATGAAGTGGATGCACAGAACAGGAACTGTTTTGCGTTGACAAATTAACTCGGAATGTCTGTATACAGTGTCTGTTCTCAGTATTGGATCAGATTCCACTGACCAATGAATGAAATAAGAGATAAACAATCAAGGTTACATCAAAAAGGCTTCGCATCAAAGCAGTGTCCTTTTGCTAGTGATCTTATTACACCCGGTCATTGGCTGTTGTTTATTCTGTGCTCTCAATTTCAGGCTGACCAAAGCATCCCCAGAAGATATAGAGTACTACAACTGTCAGCAAGAAATGGCTTTCGACCTCAATAAGCAATACCAGATCGTAGAGAGGGTGATTGGTAAGCAATGAGCGGGGAATATCAAAAAGAATAATTAGACTCTTCAAATTTTTTTTCTTTCAATAATCTACAGGGAAAGTAAACTTGAAGGAAAAGTACACTAATGCACAGTTTGTGCATCTTAACCTTTCAATAAATGTCAGAAAAAGAAGTGGTGTTAAAATAATCTGGATTTTTAATCTTTCACGTTAAAGGACGCAGTCTGTTTTGGGTTTTAAATTCACCAAGCAAGCTATTTTCTGGAGATGCAATCCGGGCCTGGATTTCACCATTTATTCATCTGTCAAACTGCAATAGAAAATTTCATGTAGACGAGGAGCAGCCAATGAATAAGAGACTGGTACTAACTTTCTTGGTGATTTATTAAGTGGAGCAGCAGTGCAGAATGCAAAGTTCTAGAATCCATTCCTGGAGTTGTGGTAGGAATCTCTCTATTGACCTCAGTATCCTGGGTCATAAACGGTTAACGAAGAAGCCATGTTTGCCCCTTGCTGTCACCATCCGTTCATTGATCTGTATCAGTGAGAGGATGGGTTGAATTTAGTTGGGATGACTCCGCAGTCAGCTCCTCCATGCTCTCCCTTGTGTGAGGAATTTAGTTCTTTTCCCACAGGGAATATATGCTTAAGGATCTGAGCCCAACACGCATTAATCGCTTTTAGGAGAAAAGTGAGGGCAGGCAAGGATTCCAGCTCCAAGTTAGTTTTCTTCACGATGCAGTAGTTGTTGATTATTTGTATATTGGTGTTCGGTATGTTATATTTAATTCCAGAAAACTGGTTCATTAAGTTGCTCCTTTCAAATTTTGGGGAAGCTGATTGCACAGAGAGCATGGGGAATGTAACTGAGTTTAGACTGTTTTAATATTAATTTTCTGTTGAGGCTGCGCCACGTAGCCTTGGGGAATTCTTCTCAAATATTTTATAGTGGGTCATTTTTTTCTCATCTCATCCTCTCCCGTTGACTCCCTATGTCAGCAAAAATGGATCCGCAGCTACAGCTGCCAACCCCCCATTTTTTGCCAGTGTAATCTGTGCCAAACTGCATGTTTCCAAGCCACAATGTGCAGTGATATTTGCTCACCCTCTTGCTCTCAGTTGTCAAACAAGACTTAAATGAAATTCCAGACAAAATAGCAAAGTGCTTTAGCATTGTAGCCAACAGTATACTGCAAGTTTGTGCTACTTACAAAACATTTATTTAAAACGTAACCAAACCAAAAATATATACAGCTGTTTCTAAATAGATGTTTGGTAGCATGGAATGTAACTTTGTTAAAAGGAGACTACAAATTGAAGCTTTTGAACTTGCACTCGGACACATGAGACAGACTTGGTGGCACACTTGTACCATATAAAATGGTGTATGTTTTCTCAAGCCTGTTTCATGCATCCTACTTCTGATGAGTGCAAGATTAAAACCTTCAACTTCTAGTCTCCTTTGAGCAATGTGTCTGTAAATGAGTTGATTTGTTTTGAGTTATATGCATATTGTTACGTGCAACAGATTTTCGGATATTTGTAAGCAATAAAGTACAGATTAATCTGCTGTTTTAAACCTCCATCTTAACTGCAATACTGTCAGTCTCACAGCATAAACAGCAAGGCCATTTGGCCCACCGTGTATGTGTTGTCTTTTTACAAGAGCTATCCAATAAGGTCCAATTGCTGCGTTTTACTCCATGGCCATGTAAGCCTTTGTAAACCCTTTAAGTATTTGCATAGTTCCCTTTGAAAGTTGCCATTAGATTTGTTTCTCATAGTAGCATAGAATTGCTGCAGTGCAGAAAGAGTCTGTTCAGCCCTTTGAGTTTACACCAACCCTCTGAAGAGCATTCCACCCAGACCCAACACCTATAACCCGCATTTCCCATGGCTAATCCACCTAGCCTGTACACTGCGGGGCGATTTAGCATGGCCAATCCACCTAACTTGCTCTGCTTGAAGAATAGTTCCAGCTTCTCCAGTTTGTGCAGATGACTGAAGTTCCTCATGCCTGGTTTGGTTTTATCTTTCCAGGATTTTTGGGAGGTCTGAATTGCTGAAATTACTGATAGTGTAATATAGTGTCTGGGCTGGAGCAACCACCCCTTTATTGTAAATCTTTGCTATTTTTTCAAAGCTTTTTTAAATAGCTTCTTCCCCCATTGGATAAATAGAGCAGCTGTTTTAGATATTTTCTAATTAACCTATTCAGATCTCTGGAATTGGTGGGACTTAAACCGAGGTTGGCTCAAAGGTAGGGACATTAATACTGGGCCACATGAGTCCTGTTTTTTTCCTCACTGGTCTTGGTCACTGGACTCAGAAAGAGTTGGGTCATGACTGTTGTCAAAAGCGTTTATATGATTGTTTGTTTTCCAAATGGCCAACTTTCTTGCTGTCTGTGTATTTCTCCATGTAAAAATAATTTATGACAAGAACAAATCATAATTATTCATTCCAAATCATTTCTTATCCAAGAATATTGCATGGGTTTGAAAAACATTTTAATCAAACAATTCTAAAAATAATGTACACCTGTGTTATTACAATTCTGTTCAAGATTTCTGAATTAATTTGCATGTCTGTTGAATGAAACTTGTAAATATATTGAGTCACCCTGTACTGAACAAAGATTTATTTCTCTCCAGCAATGAAGACCAGTAAATCTTCATCAAGTCACTCTGAATTCCCATGTAAGTATTTTTTTTGAAACTCTTTGGGTTTAAACTGTATCCCACTGGAGTTTTTGTCTGAATATCCACATTCTTCTCTAATCCTGTGCTTGGTGTGTGGCACATACTCAGTCTCAGTTCTTTGTGTCTGGTTTATATCGGCTTCTGGGATTGGGCATTGTACTAGATGATTGGAAAACCCAAGACAAATTTTAAAGCAATGACAAGGTATGCTGTCAGTGTAATAAAAGAACTGTAAATGCAGGAGATCTTAAAAAAAAAACATAAATTGCTGACAAAACTCCACAGGTCTGGCAGCATCTGTGGGCAGAAAGCTAGTTAATGTGTCGAGTCTGGTGACTTTTTATCGGAACCGTCCTGAAGGAGGATCCCTGGACTTGGAAAAATTAACCTTGCTTTCACCCCATAGATGCTCCCATCCCTGCTGAGTTCCACCAGCAATTTCTGTTTTTGTTACACTGGCAATATGATGCACACCTTTAAACTGCCGGTAGGATGCGGACACCTTTGATAGCAGGCATCGGTGTAAATCATTTTGTAGGTCAGAAGACAACTATTCCCAAAAAAAATGTATGCCTTGTATTATTGGAGAATCTGTATTTGGAAACCTCTCCAACATAAGATTACACAGAATACAGGGAGAACTAGCCATTTGAATACAGAACTGGCTCAAAGGTAGAAGACAGAGGGTGGTGGTGCAGGGTTGCTTTCCAGACTGGAAGCCTGTGACCAGCGGTGCTGGGTCCACTGCTTTTCATCGTTCATATAAATGATTTGGATGTGGTTAGTAGGTTTGCAGATGACACCAAAGTTGGCGATGTAGCGAACAGCAAAAAAGGCTTTTTCCCAGAGTGGGGGACTCAATTACTAGGGGTCAAGATTTCAAGGTGAGAGGGGAAAAGTTTAAGGGAGATACGCGTGGAAAGTTCTTTACGCAGAGGGTGGTGGGTGCCTGGAACGCGTTGCCAGCGGAGTTGGTAGAGGCGGGCATGATAGCGTCATTTAAGATGTATCTAGACAGATACATGAATGGGCAGGGAGCAGAGGGATACAGATCCTTGGAAAATAGGCGACAGGTTTAGATAGAGGATCTGGATCGGTGCAGGCTTGGAGGGCCGAAAGGCCTGTTCCTGTGCTGTAATTTTCTTTGTTCTTTGTTACCTCAGAGCACAATGGGATCTTGATCAGATGGGCCAATGGGCTGAGGAGTGGCAGATGGAGTTTAATTTAGATAAATATGAGGTGCTGCATTTTGGAAAAGTGAGTCAGGGCAGGGCTTATACACTTAATGGTAAGGTCCTGGGGAGTGTTGCTGAACAAAGAGACCTTGGAGTGCAGGTTCATAGTTCCTTGGAAGTGGAGTCTCAGGTAGATAGGATAATGAAGGTGGTGTTTGGTATGCTTTCCTTTATTGGTCAATGCATTGAGTATAGGAGTTAGGAGATGATGTTGCAGCTGTACAGGATATTGGTTAGGCCACTTTTGGAGTATTGCCTGCAGTTCTGGTCTCCCTGCTGTAGGGAGGATGCTGTGAAACAAAAAAGGGTTCAGAAAAGATGTATGAAGATGCTGCGAGGGTTGGAGGGTTTGACTTATAAGGAGAGGCTGAATTGGCTGGGGCTATTTTCCCTGGAGTGTCATAGGCTGAGAGGTGACCTTATAGAGGTTTATAAAATCACGAGGGGCATGATAGGGTAAATTGGCAAGGTCTTTCCCCCTGCAGTGGGAGAATCCAAAACTAGCGGGCATAGGGTTAAGATGAGAAGGGAAAGATATAAAAGGGACCTAAGGAGCATCTTTTTCAAGCAGAGGGTGGTGCGTGTATGGAATGAGCTGCCAGAGGAAGTGGTGGAGGCTGGTACAATTACAACATTTAAAAGGCACCTGGGTGGGTATATGAATAGGTAGGGTTTAGAGGGATGTTGACCAAATGCTGGCAAATGGGACTAAATTTATATAGGATATCTGGTCGGCATGGACGACATGGGCCAAAGGGTTTGTTTCTGTGCTGTATATTTCTGTGACTCTGTGTTAGTTACGTACTGACAAGTGTGCCAATGCATGCCACCTTTGCAACAAAGAAATAGGCCATTCCATCCATCCAGCTCTTCCCTTCTCCTTAGTCTATATATTGAGCTTCACCTTAAAGGTAGCTTTGTAAACCTGTCTTGATGACTTCATTTGGTAGAGTTTCACATTCTAACTGCTCTCTGGATTAAGAAGTGTGCAGGTTGACTGCGCTTTCTCTGGAGCGAGCCTTCATGTCAGTGTTAAGCACGTATCATTTTGGTATCTGCCAGGTTGTCAACATGTTCTTTTTCTGTTGATGCCCCGGGATCAGAGTGTGGGTGGAATCCAAAGGAGACCACCCAAAGGATTGCTGCTTTGTGCATTATGACATAAATTTTTGCAAAACATCCCATTTAAAGATCCCCTTGCTCCTGTTACCTCGCGCAGCTGGTCACATTGCATGTGTGAATATCAGCAAACAGTGTGATTGAGGAAGAAGCAACAGAACTGAAGTGGATTTTATTTTAATCCACCATCTGCATGTGCTTTTTAAAGCAATGGATGACAAAGATGGCAATTGGCAGTGAAACCCTGGCTCATCGGCCTTCCCTACATAACTTTTATACAGAAAGCCTTTGCTGGATGGTACAACTGAGGCCAATCTTTACATGCTTTTGCAAGCATCTGTTTACACATTTACGGTACAAGCAAACACGTTTTAACCCAACAACCACAATTTCAGCATTTTTTAAATCATAAAGGCACAAGTGAACCCCCAGTTCAAGCCCATCACTTGCCTACAACTAAGCACAATTAAAATGCAATTATCACTCGTTAATTTTGCAGATGTGTGTTAAATTTGAGTTGCATGATCTACAGTGAAGAATAAGACAGAACAGAGAATTGACTTATTTAACATTGAGAGAAATAAATGCAGTATTTCATATTCTAGCAGTTATGATCCAGGTGCTGTCGTCCTTAGGTCTGTGTTGATGATACAGACGTGAGCTTAAATTCCTCTCTGCCAGTTAAAGAACTTGAATTTCGTCTAAAACTTATAGAATTAAATGACTGCAAAACTGGCTCCAAGTAAACAACACTAACTGCTGTTGCCTTTTAGGAACAGAAACCTGTTCTCCCTTCCTGGCCTGTATGTGACTCCCAATTCACACAGTTGACTTTTAGCTTGCCCTCTCCCACAGCTTCACATTCCTGCCAGTGGTTTCCGTCCACCTAAGGATGGGCAATAAATGCGTTTTTGTAAACTTGGTAGCTGTTTGCAGTAAACTATAGCTGTTTGCAGTAAACTGTATAGTAGCACTGAGATAGTGACTCATATTTGTCCCTATAGCACATTCCAGCCATAAAACATCATCCTCTGGCCAGCCAGACTACCTGTGTAAGTGGATGGGTTTGCCATATGTGGACTGCAGCTGGGAGGATGGAGCTCTTATTTCCAGAAAATTCCAGGCGTGCATCGATGCCTTCCATAGCCGTCATAATTCCAAAACTATTCCCTCAAAAGACTGCAAGGTGATTGTCATATGCGAAGGTACCACGTTTGTGTTAAATGTGTTTTTTTTAATACATTACACTTAAAAATATGGCTGGTATGCACTTGCACGTTACATGTTCACTGTTCAAAATAAGGTGAAAAAGCAAGTGAAATTTGTGATTGATGGATGTAAGGCACAATATTAACCACAATGCTTCCAAATTCTGTTCCAACACCTTCTCAAGGCATTGATTCTTAAACATGGGTGTCAGACCCACCAACATTTTCCAGTCCTCTAGACAAATGACACAGTTTCTCACGTGAACCATAGATGGTGTGTCAGTCTCTTTGACTTTTGGGAATAAAAGTGCTTGCCTTTCCAGCCTTCCTCTTGTTCTCAAGCAGGACCTTCAAGATTGTTATGATTGGCAAAAAATTTATAACACACCTACTACTGTCTCAGTTGAGGTCAGCTCGTTTAGTGTAAAACAGAGATGAGCCATGGGCTACTTGCTTTCCATGGTTCATTTACACACTGGATGCTCAGCATCAGAAAGAACGAAAACAAGTTCCAGATGCACTTTACCCAGTTTCACATTGCCACTTCATGACATGCGTTGTAATGGTCACAAAGAGAGGCTTTACTGGGGAAATGGAAATTAATGTCAAGCAGGTTAGATTAAAGAGACTTGATATTGCAAAACAACCTCCTCAGTTCTGGGATGCTTGTCCATTAATGAATTACGTTCTTGACCTCTTCTGCTATAGAAGTGCTTTTAATAGCCAATTTTCACATAGCAAGTCTCTGAAAGGGTAGTAGATGCTTGTTAAATATTAGTCAGTGTAGCTGGAGATCTCTAATGATGAAGCAGAATATTGCAGTGGCTGGATATCTTAATAATAAACAAAATGCTGGAACTACTGTGCATGTCTGACTAAAGGTCACTGACCTTTAAAAGCAGATTCTGTTTCTCATTCAGCAGATGTTGCCTGGCTTGCTAGGTTTTCCAGCATTGTATGTTCTACTTGTATTCAGTATTAGCTGGAGAATTCCATTGGTCTGTTTTCGAAAAGTGACATGATGTGTCACAGTTTCATGTTCTCATTCAAATACCAAAGCTTGGCACCATCGACAATGCTCTCGGTGCTCCATTAGTGTATCAGTGCAGATTCATTCAAGTTCCCGGTTAACGCATCACCTTTCTGCCTGAAAGGCGCGAGTGTTACAGACTGTGCTGTCTCTAATGTTACAATTATGCTGATAGTAATGTACTTAGACACGATACATTTGCCATTTGTTGTGCAATATTGCACCAGTTCTGAGCTGGTATTGTACACAGTGGTTTATTATGTCAAACTTGGTATGAATCAGCGCACAACCAGTGTATTTCCACAACTTGCACTGTTATAGCAGAGTGCAGTTGCATATTGATGATAAACGGAGGTGGGTATGCATGAATATGAATCCGCGTTGGATCTAAAATGCTTTGATGGTTCTTCAGTTCGGTAGACGAAAATGTGACTTTGTGTTCCTGATTGTGTTACCGTTAAAGTTTTCTTCATTCCTTTCCTGAAGTTACTGACTTGTTGCATAGGTGCCAGTTGAGTAAGTGCACACTGTACTCTGCCTTTCAGTAGGCACAGAGCGATCACACCTGAGCCTTATCCTCAATATCCACACAGACACTTTTTTGTGGTGGGGCTTATTGATTAGCCTTCGAATACTGGCTGTAATTTAGCTCTTCTTAGTTGAGAGACGCTGAAAGTACTTGTAATAAGCACTGGCTAACACCTACTAGTCTAAACTGAAGGCTTCTTGGCACCAGCACTTTCTGGCACACCATGGCATTGTATGAATTATTGCTTCATCACCAATAAATTACTTTCTATGTTCTCGCAGTAGGTTGTCATCAAAGAGGCAGCTGTTTAAAGGAGGGGGCTTTGCCCATTGTATCTGTGCCTAACGCTCTTAGAGCAATCAAAAACTATTCCCAATATCCTGTTTTATTTGAATAGCCCTCTTTGTCCGAATCAAATGTTTTACTTACTCTTCCTTTAAACAGTTTAATGTTCACTGCTTCATATGCTGATTGAAGCAAAGCACATCATTTAATAATAATTGTAAGAAGCAATTTCTGTAAACCATATCTTTCACTACCTGACAATTTTCAATTTACGATTCCTCACTAAACACAAAATTCCTCCATTTACTTTGTTAAAACTGCTCATGGTTTTAAATATAAGACCATAAGAAATAGAATTAGGCTATTTGGCCCATTGACTCTGCTCTGGCATTCGATCGTGGCTGACGTTTCTCAGCCCCATTTTCCTACCTTCTTCCCATAACCCTTGTTCCCTTTACCAACCAATAACCTATTTATCTCTGTCTTAAATACAACCATGACTTGGCCTCCTCACCCCTCTGTGGCAACGTGTCCCACAGATTAACCACCTCTGGTTGAAGAAATTCCTCCTCATGTCAATTCTAAAGGGACATCCCTTTTTGAGACTGTCCGCTCGAGCCCTAGTCCCTCCTGTTGGTGGAAATATCTTCTAAACATCCAGTATATCCAGGCCTATCAGTATTCTGTAAGTTTCAATGAGATGCTCTCTCATCCTTCAAAACTCCATTGAGTACAGACCTAGAGTCCTCTACTGCTCTTCAACACCATGGGTGCTTATATGATTTAACAACTTCCCGTGCGGGACTTCGTCAAAGGCCTTTTGGGAATCCAAATTGACCATGTGCACTGGTTCTCCTTTGTCTAACTTGCTGAATACTTCCTCAAAGAGTATCTACTCTTAGCTTTAAATATCTACTCATAGCTTTCTTCCCAGTGCAAATAACTAGGAATGTAGGAGAAGGGTCATCTACTAGTCTAGATTGAAGGCTTCTTCACCAGCACTTTCTGGCGCACCACAGCATTGTATGAATTATTGCTTCATCACCAATAAATTACTTTCTACGTTCTTGCAGTAGGTTGTCCATTTCCCCTTCTGCCAAACCTACTAGTTGTTTGATAACGTTAAAGTATTGATTAATCGTATTGACAAATTTCTATTGCTTAGTTTATAACAAACCTTGTGTAAGGTGAGAAAAGTCCACTTTTGGAACCACAGATCCAAGTTGGCCTGTCCTTAAGGATGCTATGCTTGCCATATGTCATGTCTCATATTATTTCCTTACAGTCCCAATATCTTAGTCTGCTATCCATCCACTTCCTAAGGAGCTAGATTTACCAATGGTTCACTGAAATAATAGATTCAAATATTTGTTTCTCTTCTTTATGACACTATTTTTGTGTGCTTGCCAAAAATAGTTACAAAAGCGTGATTAATGCTGTATGTATTTTTCTGTTGACAAGGTGTATGCCCAGAGGTGAGTGAGACATCTCATGGGATTCCATGTCTTGTTTGCTATGCAATTCTATCAAATGATCCATTCGCTGACTGTTTGTGTTTCTATCTGATCACAAGGGACTTCACTTGTTCGTGTATTAAGAAATAAGTGGAAACTCAATTCTTGCTTTTCAGGTCTTGAAACAGAGGCCTAGGTTTGTTACCATGAAGAAGCAGCCTTCCTATATCGGCAGTGAGGGCTTGGAATTGAGGGATTACCAACTTGAGGGTCTGAACTGGCTCGTTCACTCCTGGTGCAAGTACGGATTTCAATGTAATCTAAGAGCGTGTAATGAATTTGGTCGAATTTATTTCGGCTGGGGCCACACTTCAGGGTTTATAGCTGGTCGTCATGTGTTAACGGTGGGGTACGGTATGCAGGATCACAGCTCTGTGACTGTGACCAGTAGATGTACGGATATTGATCTTGGACAGGCTCAGTATCAATTGTGGCATTTCCCGTCGTCAGATCACTCACTGAAACACGTCGTCTCTGCTCACAAATGGAAAATTACCTCCTTGATGAGCTGCAAGAGAATGCTGGATCCCGCCACAGGTCACCTGCTTCAGCAGACGAAAAATGGTGTTTTGACTCTTAAGATATCATTCACACTCTTCCATCCCCTATGAGCAGGACTCAGTGGAGTTCAAACCCAGTGGGGGCAGGAACTAGATACATTGCTATTTTTTTGCAGCCAGCCTTATTTTAAAAACAAATGACATTAGAAAGATGGTGAAACTGACGTGCATGAATTAGATTGGAGTAGGGGAGAATTGCGTATGTGAACATATGAACTAAGAGCAGGAGTAGGACACTTGCCCCCTTACGACTGTTAAGTAAGATCAGGGCTGATCTGATTACCTCACATTGCTGTCTGTCCCTGGTATTGTTTGACCCCCTTGCTTTATCAAGAATCCATCTACCTCTGCCTTAAAAACATTTGTTGACTGCTTCCACTAAGAAGAGAGTTCCAAAGACTCATTGCCCTTTAAGAGAAAAATATTCTCATAATTTCTATCTTAAATGGACGAACCTTCAATTTTAAATAGTGACACTAATTCTGGTTTGTCCCACAACAGGAAACATCCCTTGCACATCTACCGTGTCAAGACCCCCTCAGGGTCTTGTATATTTCAATCACGTCGCCTCTTGCACTTCTAATCTCCAGCAGACATAAGCCTGGTTTGTCACATATTCCCTCAAAAGAGCAATGTGCCCATTCCGCTTATTTCTAGTAAACCTTTGGATAGCTTCCACCGCATTTACATCCTTCCTTAAGTAAGGAGATCAATGTTAGACACAGTACTCCAGATGTGGTCCCACCAGTGCTCTCTGTAACTGAGGCATAACTTCCTCACTTTAGTGTTCAATTTTCCTTGCTTTCCCAGTTACTTGCTGTACCTGCATACTAACATTTAGCCATTCCTACACTAGAACAGTCAAATTTGTCAGCTCCTTAGAGCTCTGAAATTTCTCAGTATTTGGATAATATGTTCACTTTTTCATTCTTTCTGCCAAAATGGACAGCTTCGCATTTTCCCACAGTTTGCTCCATTTTACAAATCTTAACTCGTTCACTTAACCTGTCTGTATTCCTTTGTAACCTCCTTGTGTCCTTTTCACAACTTACTTTCCAACTTATCTATCATCAGCAAATTTAGCAACTGTACTTCTGGTCCATTCATCCAAGTCTTCTATATAAATTGTAAAACATTGAGGTCTTGATCTCTATGGCTCATCATTCACTGCATCTTGCAAACCAGAAAATGACCCATTTATGTTTACTGTTTCCAGTTAGCTAGCTAATCTTCTGTACATGTTAATGTGCTACCCTCTCCACCTATTTATCTTCCGCAATAACTTTTAATATGACACCTTATCAGTACCTTCTGGAAGTTAGAGTGCATCCAGCAGTTCCCCTTTATCCACGTTATTTCCACAAAAAACTCCAATAAATTGGTTAAACATGATTTCTCTTTCACAACACCAGATGCAGTTTGAGATCAGAGCATCATCTGCATCTTAACGAAAGCAAAGTACTATGGCTGCTGGGGATTTGAAATAACAACAAAGTGATGGAGAAACTTGGCAAATCCGACAGCGTTTGTGGAGAGCAAAACAAAGTTAATGTTTCAAGTCGAATGTGACTTCTTTGGAACTCTGTTTTTCTCTCCAGAGAAGCTGCTCAGTTTGTCCAACATTTTCTGTCTTCTGTGTTGTATTATGCTCTATGGCTTCCTCAACATGGTCATGAGCTGCATTATAGATGATTGGACCTAGAAGAGTTGTCTCTACACAATTTGCCTGGATGAGTCTTTGCAAACTAGGGTAAGCAAATTTCGAAAGACACCAAGGATAAGAGATGACCATCCTCACCTAGTTTGACCTTGCTTGTCAAAGCAGTTTACCCAGATGTGACTGCTATTTGGAGCAAACCGGTAAAAGCTGGGTAAAGATGAGGACCATTGCAGGATGAGCCACACCGCAGCTAAAACGGACCCCCTTTAACAACAAAACTGGTTTATTAAAAGGCTGTTAGTTTGTGACTCATTGGAAATTCTCCTTTGTTATTCTGCTGGGCAGGACTGTACCTCCTTCTGTCTATTCAAGTCTATTTAATTGCACCAAAGAATGGTCATCAGTGCGTTTGCTTTCCATTCCATACAGTTTCCTTTGGAGTACCCAGGAACCACACACCACCACCAACTCCCCCCCCCGCCCCACATTTCGTATCCACATGCCACCACTTGCCACTGTCACTCAGAAACATCACATAATTTTCCACAAGTATACTGACTGTATCAAATTTTACCTCACCACTACTTGCTTTGACCCCCTCCATTGTCTCTACCTTGTCAGGTTGCTTGTCTGACATTCAGTGCAGGGTGAGCAGAAAGTTCATTCAGTTAAACATTAGGAAGACTGAAACAGTTGTCTTTAGCCACTACCACAAACTGTTCCTTTACTTGCAACTTCATTCCTCTACCAAGCAACTTACCTGAGACTGAAATGGACTGTTGGCAACACAGTTCTATTTGACTCAGTGAGCTTTCAGCTGTGTCTTCATGCTGTCATTAAGGCCGTGTATCTCCACTCATATAACATTGTCTGACTCTTCTGTACTTCAGTTCATGCTGAAATCCTCAGCTGTGGTTTAGTTTTCAAACTTCCAGACACGATTATTCCATTGCATCCCTGGCTTACCCTTCGCATTCTGCCCTCCATAAAGTTGAGCCCATCCAAAATTCTGTTGCCCAGTACCTAATTTGCACGAAATTCCATTTACTTGTCATCATTGTGCTTGCTGATCTGTACTGGCTCCTAGCTAAATAACACTATTTTAAATATTTCATTCTTGTTTTAAGAGTGCACTATGGCATAACCATGCTCCTGTGTCCACAAAATTCTCCAGTATCATTGTTCCTCCAATTCTGGATTTTTGAGGACCCCAGATTTTAACCACTCCCATCACTTGTGTTCACGTACCTTCATGACCATCTTTGCCACTTTACCTCCTTTAAGACATTCTTCAAAACCAAATGCTTTGGGCAAGATTTTGAACTTAAAGGGTTACTTACTGTGCTTTAAATGATTCTGACACATCAGCCCATATATCTCCCATATATGGTTGGGTGTTGTATTTTGGTTTGCACTACCCCTGTGAAACAACTTGGGATGCCTTACTTTATCAAAGTTGTATTAATGCAGTTGGTTTTACAGTTCTTTTTGGTGTTTCATGTGTTAGAATCTAGATTTATGTCACACTTTGCTTGGCTCAGTAGGTTCGCTGTTTACATTTTCTGTTTGAAAACCCCCGCAGGTGTAACAGTGTGATCCTGGCTGATGAAATGGGTTTGGGTAAGACAATCCAGACTATCTCATTCCTCTCAAACCTATTCAATCAGCATCAGCTCTATGGTCCCTTCCTCTTGGTTGTACCTCTGTCCACTGTCACTTCCTGGCAGCGAGAATTCGAAATCTGGGAGCCCAACATGAACGTGGTTGTTTACATCGGTGATGTCATGAGCCGAAATACGGTGAGTTCAAGACGTTGCTTAAAGCAATTGATGGAGGTTCGGGAAATTTGAAATTATGTTAAATGCAGAATATGTGCTTCAGGTTAATCATTGCCTGAGAAACTGGATAATGTCTTGAGTAGGTGGTCATCCCAAAGCTTTTGTTGTGAACGTGATTTGTTTTTCTTCTGCGGGTCCAGATCGTGTGTGTCAGAACCCCAGCATAGTTACATTGCCATACATGCAGTCTGAATATTTCTCCATTACCAGGCTAAGATGTATTTCTGTGGTCCTTGGAGTGTTCAAAACAGGAATGAGTAATAAGTGCTGGCCAGCCAGTGACGTCCATGTCTCATGAGAGAGTAAAAGAAAGCTGGGATAATTTCCCGGATGAGATTTCATTTCTAAACATCTAGTCAAAAGTGAAGACAGTACAATCAAATGTGATTTTGTCCTAAGCTTGAGAACCTTAAAAAACCTTAAAACTTGCAGATGCTGGAAACCGGAAACAGTGTAAGTTCTGAAGAAGGATCACTGGATCTGTAGCGTTAACTTTGCTTTCTCTCCACAGATGCTACCGTTCCTGCTGAGTTTTTCCAGCAATTTATGATTTTGTCCTCTCCTAGTTTTCCTATCTGAAGCTCAGATGGATTGCTGGTTTGTGCTGCAGGGTGATGCCAGTAGTGTGGGTTCAATTCCTGCAAAGGCTGAAGTTACCATGAAGGACTCTCCTTCTCAGTCTCTCCCCTCACCTAAGGTGTAGTGTTTCTGAGCTTAAACCACCACCAATCTTCTCTCAATGAGAACAGCCCTCTGGCCTGGTAAGACAACGATGATTTTTTACACCTTCCTCAAATTTCCCGCAGTCTGTTGGATAGTGATAAAAATTTGAGAGTGTGAACCAGTTTCTCCCTCTCACCTCCTAAACTCTCATCCTACAAGAGGAAGTGTATGGAGATATTGTAATGTTGCTTTCTATATTACAGCTTAGATGGGATCAGGTAAAGATCTTTTGGTTTTCTGTTACTCCCTGTCTTAACCGGTTGTTCCAGGATCTAATCTTGGGCTTAATCTGTAAGGAGATAAAACCTGAGGATGCGAAACCTACTAATGGCTGAGAGTGGTGATATTCGTTACCCTGTGCTGTCTGACCAGTACATTGCTGACATACATATTTGTACAACGTCCAGAACTCTGGACCTGTTGATATATATCAATGTATCATTAATAATTACTGACTTCCAACACAAAACAAATTAAAACTTTCTGTTACAGATCCGAGAATACGATTGGTTACACCCTGAGACAAAGAGACTGAAGTTCAACGTATTGATAACGACATATGAAATTTTGCTGAAGGATAAGGTAATAAACCCACAGGCAGTGATGGGGAATTTGAAGCCCTTCAGAATAAATTGGTTCGGTCATCAAGGGGGATCAAATTCAACATGGGCACATGGAAATAATATTTTTACAAAAAAGTTGAGGGGTTGTGGAATGCTTTACCACAAACAGCTGATGAAGCCAGGTTGGTCATAATATTTCAGCAAAACTTGGATAAATGCTGAAACCAGTGAAACATCCAAAGCTGTGGACAGTGCCAGAAGAGCAGAATTCTGAGGTTAGAATGGAAAGCTCTGCCGTGGAGTTAGTGGAGATATGGACAGCTGAGCCTTAATAGTTTCCATCAGTGTGCTGAAATCTCAGTCTAATTGTTATTGAAGTCTTTTTCTTTCCTGTCAGAATGTTTTGGGGAGTATAAACTGGGCATTCCTGGGAGTGGACGAAGCTCATCGATTGAAGAATGATGACTCCCTCTTGTATCGAACTTTGATCGACTTCAGGTCCAACCATCGGCTGCTGATAACAGGGACACCGCTGCAGAACTCACTGAAAGAGCTCTGGTCGCTCCTACACTTCATCATGCCTGAAAAGTAAGCCACCTCTCAGCCAAACCAACAATTAATAAAGGTTTACAAGATGTAGTTAACCACTTGTCCCACCCACTAATCCCCATCAGGCTAATCACGTTCACACTGAGACCAGCTCCACAGGTACAAAGCTACCTTTGTCACCTTGTGCTCCCAAATTCTTTGCAGCAAGTTGTCTCCTTCTCGTAGCAAGCTATCTAATAACTGAATTGAGTCATCTCCTGACATGTACTTCCTAGCTGATGTAACTTCATAGCAGTCAGGAGAGTAAAAGTTCGGCTGTTATTAGTCAGCTGTAATTGGATATGAAGGTATAAATAGTTTAGTCTAGATTAAATAATCTGTTTAACACATGGACTAATCATCACAGATGTTGAGCATCCCTCTGATACAAATAGCACCCCAGAGGTCTTCATTGTACATCCTCTGAGACAATTGTGCAGGGTATGGAGAAAGAGTGTGGGGAGTGAGGTTAATGTCATAGCTCAGTGACGGAGCTGACACAGGTGTAACAGTTCAAATGGCATTGTCCTGGGTTCTACGATTTATTAAGCCCCAGGACTCGCATCACAGAATGTGGCTGACTCTCAGTTGCAGTGCCAATGCAGTGCTGCGTGGCTAGAGGAGCTGTATCCAGTCGTATCACTACTCCTTGAAGCATTCCAACATGCACTTGACATCTGAATTGTTTTTCTTCTGTCTAGGTTTGATTCCTGGGAGGACTTTGAAGAAGAACACGGGAAGGGAAGAGAAAATGGTTTCCAGAGTCTACACAGGGTCTTGGAGCCCTTCTTGTTGCGCAGAGTTAAGAAAGATGTTGAAAAATCACTTCCTGCCAAAGTTGAACAGATTCTGAGGGTGGAAATGTCAGCCTCACAGAAGCAGTATTATAAGTAAGGGCTCACCTGGTGATATGGATTAGCCCAGCAGGAGACCAAGAATAGGTGGATGCCTAGGGCAGATGTTGGTTTTGTGAAATTGACTTTGTCTTTTCTTTCATCCCTCTACTTTTCTCTGCTTAATGGATTTTTAGTAATTTTTAGCAAACTGGGCAGATCTTGATTTAACCGTGAATACATATCCTAGAATTGAATAGCTTATTTTTTTCCTTTCCCTGACTAATCATTTGTAGCGCTAAGACTAGTTAAATCAGTAGAGATTAACTCTGCAACTTTCGGGTGTCACCCATTGAGGTGCCAGTGGAACCACATTTTGACATCTTTTTTCTCTCGCCTCAATGTTGATCATTCATCCAAAATAAAATTGGTAACTGAAGAGGCCATCGGGATTCTCTCATCACTAGCAAAGTAGCACTCGAACCAGAGTACGAATAAGCTGCTCTCTCCTTAGGTCCACCCTCGGTTGTATTGCAACAATATATGTCTTTGCACTTCAGTTGTGAAGCAGGAATTTAACTAGATTTAGATTTAGCGAGGTTTCAGGCCAGGTATCTTTGTATTTGTGATGCCTTGGCTGTGTGTGTTAGGTCCTCATACCGGATGATTCAGGTACTGCTCATGGCTTCACCTCTACAGTGTGTTGCACTGGCTAACCCCCCCAAGCACCTTGAGACAGATCAACACAGTTTTAAATTGTTCTCATCACAGTTCCAATCATCACTAAGTTGTTGAACGTGGTTGAGGTAGACCAACACCATGAGTACATGGGGAACATATTTGTGGTCATTATAAATCCGTCTTTGACAGAAACTAGCTGTAGTGCAATTATATATGTCTGAATAAAGATAAATGTATTAGAAGGTGCTTAGTGAAGTCTGACCGCGGTAATTGCAGACAATGAGGGACTGGGGAGGCAGAGAAGGCGGAGGGGTTGGGGTGGTGGGTGCTTGAATGTAAACGAGGGTCATGTGCTTCAGTCTATCACTCAATAAAAAGTCCCTGGGTACTTTAGTATAGACCATAGAAAAGTTACAGTGCAGAAATGAGCCATTCAGCAATTCATACCCGTTCCAGCTAAATGACCTAGCCCTCCCCATTCTATTTCTGCATTCCAGCACCTGCTCCATAGCCTTGCAGGTTATAGCACGTCGAGTGCAGATCCACATTCTTTTTAGATTATTTGCAGGTTTATGCCACAAACACCAAACTGGGCAACAAATCCCAGCTATCCATCACCTTTTGGGAGGAAAAGTTTTCCTTTTGCTCCATCGCCCCCAAAACCGCTCGATACAGATGCCAGTCTTGTTAATCTTTGCTCCCTGGTAATTGACTTCTCTGCTAGGGGAACTGAGTATTTCCCACTCACTGTACGCAAGCTCCTCATTATTTTGTATACCTCAATTAAATCACTTGTCAGCCTCCTCCTTTGAAGGAAAACAGGTCTAACTTATCCAATCTCTTCTTACACCTGAAATTTTCAAGCCCTAGCAATGTTCTTGTAAATCCCCATTCTTTCTTTTGAGCAGTTATGTCCTTTCTGTAATGTGGTAACCAGAACTGTACGTTAAAGTCCAGCTAGGATCTAATCATGTCTTCTGTAATTTCAGCATTACATTACTGCTCATATATTCAGTGCCTTGTCCAATGAAGGAAAGTATCCCGAATGTTTCCTTTACCACCTTATCTACCTTCGGGAACTTGTGAACATATACTCCAAGATATTTTGCTTTCTCTACTCTTCCCAGGGCCCTCAGATTTATTGTGTATTGCCTTGCCCAAATTCATAACCTTGGACTTCTCCAGTTTGAATTCCAATTACACACTTTTGCCCATTCAGCCAAGCCATTGATATCTTCCTGGAGTTGACAGCCGTTACCTTCGCGAGTAACAACCTAATTTTTTTATTGCCTGCAGTTTTCCCCATAGTGCTTCCCACCTTTAAGTCCAAATCATTAATGTATACCATAAACCGCAAGGGACCAAAAACTGAAACCTGTGAAACATCGCGAGAAACACCAATTCATTTACAAAAACATCATTTGACCATTTCCTTTTGTTTCCTTTCACCAAGGAGTGAGGTGCAGTTTTGGATCTAACATACCACATCCCACGATATCCGATGGGCTTTAATTTTTATTCTCCGTCTGCCATGTGGGGACCTTGCCAAATAAAATCCATGTAGACAACATCCATTACACAATCTCCTTCAATCCTCCTTGTTACTTACTCAAAAACTTCAATTCAGTCAGTTTGACAGTCCTTCCCTTAATAAAACTGTGCTGACTATATCTGAATAGTCCATTCCTCTCCAAGTAATAGTTAATCCTTTCAATATTGATTCCAGTAATGTGCCCACCACAGAGGTGGCATTATCAAGAAAATTAAACACTAAGCCACATGAGAGATTACACCACATGACCAAAGGCGTAGGTGGGCCAGTGATGGTCTGAGAGCACTGGGGAAATGAGTGAGTTACAAGAGGTTCAAATTAGCAATGTGAAGGATAGACCTATGGAGACCGGTAATAAAGAGTTGAAATAGTCAAGCCTAGAGGTAACAAGGATTTAATGGGAGTTCAGTGGTTAATGGCCCTCAGCAGAGATAGATTGAGCAGTGTTGGGCAGGCAGAAACAAGGTGCCTAAGCGGTGATGTGAATGTGTGATCAGAAGCTCACTTTGGTTAGATGTAGCACCCAAGTTGTGAACAGTCTTGTTCACCCTTGGACGATTGCCAGAGAGTGGAGTGGAGTTGGAACCAGGAGAAACAAATTTGAGACCAGGACAACTGCAGTGACTTCTGCCTGGCCAGTAATTATGTGAAGGAAATTTCTGTTCACCCTTTACTAGATGGTGAGAAAGGGGTCTGATGATTTGGAGATAATGACAAGTTAAGAAACGTGAAGGTGAGGCAGTTTCCATAGTCAACATACATATGGAAACTGATGCTGCATTTTCAGATAACGCTGCAAGTGAGAGGTAAAGGAGGGTGTCAGTGCAGGACCTTGAGGAGATTCCGGAGCTAACAGTGCAGTAATAGGAAGGGACATCATTTGGACAGAAGTCCAAAAATCACAGCATTGAGGGAACAGCATAGCATCCCAGCTAGGCAGTGTTCGGGATGTACTTTACAAGAAGTTAAGAGAGCTGGATCTATTTCTGTTGGAAGTAGGATTGAGGGTAACAGAATTGCTTGATGTTTTCTTTTCCCTGATGAGGTAGGGGAAGGTATCCAGGAGCCGAGGAAGAGCCCATGACAGAATAATCATACATGATCTCTGGATGGAGTGGACTTGCTGCATCGGTTAGTCCTTTCTTTCCTGGTACTGATGTTGGTTATGGTGAGGTTATGGTAATGGGGAACTTGTGCTGCTGTTTAGTCAGTTCTTGATGCTGAGCACTCCTTATCTCTGTCAATGCAGGTGGATATTGACCCGAAATTATAAGGCGCTTACCAAGGGAACCAGGGGGTCTACTTCGAGCTTCCTCAACATCATGATGGAGCTGAAGAAATGCTGCAATCACTGTTATTTAGTTAAGCAGTGCGAGGAAAATGAGAACCTGACCAGCCAGGAAGTGTTACAGGTGAGTGAAACTTTCTTGGTAAATTTTGTCCTCCCTCACTGAACTGCACAGCACACCGTCTAAATGTGAGTGTCTCAGAAACCCGAACCAAAATCACAAGCAATGATGAGTTTAAACTGTCTTTGTAGTCACCCTTGCTGCTTCCAGTTATCATTTAACTAGAGGTACAGCCAACCACTACAAAAGCCATTCTTTGATCGAGCTTGCTTTCCACAGTTTTTATTCTTTCACAGGTTTTGGGCGTTGTCATCAAGCTGACCATTTGTTGCCCAGCCTTGATTGCCATTTAGCTGAGTGACATGCTAGGCTGTCTCAGAAAGCATTTAAGAGTCAGCTGCATTGCTTTGGGTCTGGAGTCATATGTAGGCCAGACCATATAAGGGTGGCAGATTTCCTTCCCTAAAGGACATCAGTGAATGAGATGGGCTTTTACAGCAATCAATGATAGTTGTTATAGTTACCATCCCTGAAACCTGTTTTCAATTCGAGTCATTTTTTGAATTTACGCTCCACCAGCCGCTGTGGTGGGATTTGAACCCTTGTCTCCAGATCATTTGACTGGGCCTCTGGTTTACTACTCCAGTGTCATTCATTACCCATCTTGTTTTCCTATAGATCCAAATACTTTTCAACTAACACGTGCTTTCTGTTCCTTATCACTGCTATTGAACTGATCCTTCTCACCGCAAGAACAGATCTGAACTATTTCTGTACTTTATGTATACCATGGTATGTATCCCTGTGATCACTCTTTGGAAGTATTCGCCCGAGTCTCTGGAGTGGGACTGCACCTTTTAGAAGGGTACCCTTGCAGTTAAGCTGTTAAACTAATGCTCCCTGCCCTCTTAAGGTGAAGGAAAACGATCTCATGGATTTTTCTAAGAAGAGTTCTGAGAGCTATTTCCAGAGTCCTAGTCAATGTTTATTCCTCAATGAACATCACAGAATCGATAGGTGGAAGCAAGATACACGTCAGCCATGATACAAGTCAGCCATGATACAACTGAACGAGAGAACCTGCTCATAGGGATGAATAAAGGCCTGCTCTCTCTCATGGAGAGAGATGAATAATGGTGGAGGGTCACCACATTTCATGCAAGGGGAGAGTCCTTCATGGTAACCTCAGCCACTGCCAGGATTGGCATTATTCTATGTCAGAAACTGGCCATCCAGCCAATTGAGCTTACTGACCTTCTAGTAGGGGATGAATAATCTGCTGCTGTTCCTGCTAGTTGGGGATGAAAATGTCCTCCCTGCCCTTACTTGCAGCTAGGTTGCTCTCAGCACCTGAACTTTCTCAGACTTGGCATTTTGATTCCTGTTTCAACTTATTGCAGAACCTGATCAAGAGCAGTGGCAAGCTGATTCTGCTGGATAAGCTGATGACCCGGCTTCGAGAGAGAGGAAACAGAGTGCTCATCTTCTCTCAGATGGTCCGAATGTTGGATATCCTTGCTGAATACTTGACCATAAAACACTATCCATTCCAGGTGAGTGTGACCAAGAATTCCAGAGTGTTGACTAACCTGAGAGATACTGAACAATTCAGAATCTGACACACAATTCAGGATGGTGTCATTTCTGAACAGCATTTTTTGTTTACCCACATTCAGTTCCCTTGTGTTTCAACTTGCTCTTTATACTTGTCCCAATGAAGGGTGGAAAGGGCTTGTTGCCAGGAAATGGAACCATTTGTTTGACATGCTTGATGTGAGAACCACATATACCAGATAGTTATCCGGAGTCAAAAACTCCTTGAACTCTTCCATATCAAATTGTTGCACATCAAGATCAGAAGATCTTCATCACAATTGAGAGATCTTTTAGTTTGCTGCATCAGCTATCCTATAATTCAAGTGTAGAATTAAAAAGAAAGACGGAACCAGGATTTGAACGCCTAGGTGTGTTTAAAGCGCCAAGATACTTTTTGAAGTGTAGTGTCTATTCAAATGCAGGAAGTTCAACAGTAAGTTTGAACACAGGAAACCAATGGTGATTTTTGTTAATTCCGATCCAAAACATGCATTGATTAAATGCCATTTCCTGTTGCTGACCTGTTTATTTTTGTTCTCCTTGAGCTAACCTTACCAGTTAACAAGGAGCTGTCCTGTCTCTTAAGTGATACTGGAGATAGCCCCACAGTGCTGTGCGCACTGGGAGGTGGATTGAAGCTGCTACGGCTAATTTCTACTTTCAAACACTTGCAGAAAAGGCTAGCATCCCATCAGCCTCAGTTGAGTTAAACTTGGGTCTCCAAGGCAACAATTCAAAGATGAGCCCATCCCTCCAGCCCACTCAGTTCCCATTTCCTCCATTATTACTTTAAAGATGTTTACGGCTGTAGGTTTATGGAGAATGCACCTGGTGACGTACCTGTAGATAGCCGGGCCAAATTTGGTTGCTATCTATGTAACTGTTTTGGCAACTTGTCTTTGTGAAGTTGCTCAATGACGCAAGCCCTTCTATAGCTGTTGACTAAGCACTGTCCTTTAAACCAGGATTATTTTTGGACCAAGTATCAGCATAAAAATAGATGAGAAATCTGCACTTCAGAGTTTCGGAATGATCCTTAAGCACACAGTTGAGATGTTCTTGTTCTATCATATTGCAGCGTTTGGATGGATCTATAAAAGGAGAGTTAAGGAAACAGGCTTTGGATCACTTCAATGCAGAAGGATCTGAGGTAAGAAAGTGTTGATTTACATCTTTCCCATTACTAGATTGACAGCCCTTTTAAAACGATACTCCACCACCTAAAAGATATTAAATAGCGAATGGTTGGTTGTCCTGGGAATGTTTAATGAACTCTCACTCACTCTGGTGTTGTATTTTACTCAGTAATCCCTCACTTTCTGAGGTGGTTTACTAAAACTTTGCTTCATCTCAGGTTTTTGAGACTCATTCCTTGCTCAAATCATTCATTCTTGGCTGATCATCTTAATTTCCCTCTGCTTTATCCGTTGGTAGTAACGTGCACGCACAAAACCAGATATTGGGAATTTTCCACAAAAGTCACTTCTGTCTTGACCTAATTCATACTTTATCACTTCAAAGTTATTCCCTCTTAACAGTAGCTATCCTTGATTAATAAACGTTTGTCAGCAGGGACTTCACTGCATTGTCTGGACAGGTTACCAGCAGTGCTTTTCAATTAGTGCAGTTGTACTTTGTCCTGTCGGGGTATTGTTGACAGAGAGGCGAGTACATGCAGTTCTTGCTTTGAATAAAGAATTCATTTAGGAAATTTGAGTCAGAAGGGTTGGTTTGGTATCAGTTGGCCTGGCATAGCGTCACATCGCAAGACGTGGCACTCGCACTGCACAATTGGCCTCTTGCCACATGTACTACTGCTTTGATTTACTGGATTGTTTTCCTTTCTGAAACACACTTAAAATAACTCTAGATTAGTTCAGATTATTTTTATTTAAACTCACCCTTGTCTCCCTTTTTAGCTGTTAAAAGTTTCTAAGATGGTCAGTGAGATAGAAATTGAGAAACATACCTTTTCTTTGTGGAATTGATTAACTTGGTTCCCTCAACCATCTACCCCAAAATCCAGCTCTTCCCTATCGATATGTACTCAAAAACAATTAAAATAAACACCACCTGTTTCCCTTAACCTTAGCAAGGACATTAACAAATCTTAACAATGGGATTAACGTGAGCAAAAGTACTGACGGTAATTTCTCTCCCCCGTTGCTTTTATGAACAAATATTGCACGCGAGCTTCCTGCTCCCTGCACCCTTACTGAGACCATGCAAACCAGAGGGTCACCTCTTCAATCTCTGAGCTGATGGATTCTTTCCCAGTTTCCACATCCTCCTCCATTTTGGCCATCTACAGTTTGCAAGGTTTTATGACAGCAAGGTGTTGATTCACGCATTATCCAGTCCTAGCCTCATTCCTCTTGTTAACCTGCGGTGTTCCATGCTATAGGCCTTACTCTGTCAGCCAGCTTTTCAGTGGAAAATGCTCCAAGCATGATGAGCTCTTGGACCTGTAGAATCTTAGAATGGTGCATCACCAATAGAATCCATTTGCCTTTGTACCTGCGCTAGCATTTTGAAAGAGTTATCCAGTTAATTCCACTCACCCTGCCTGACAGACCTTTCATGTCATCTTTGAGTATTTCTCCACTTTTATATTGAAAATTGCCATTGACTCTGCTTCCACCACTCTTCATATTATAACTCACTATGTTCAAAGAAATTTCTCTGCTAGTTTTTTATTTGTTTTCCATCTCTATCTTTAGGACTTCTGTTTCCTCCTTTCCACGAGAGCAGGGGGCCTTGGGATTAACCTTGCCTCTGCGGACACTGTGATCATCTTTGACTCTGACTGGAATCCTCAGAACGACTTGCAGGCGCAGGCTCGAGCTCATAGGATTGGCCAGAAGAAGCAGGTTAGTGTGCACTCGGTTGGAAGGGTTATTGGGTGGTGCCTGTGTCAGCTCTGCATGTTGAAGACAGATCCATTTTTCATTAATTGTTTGGCTTACAAACTTCTTTGCCCTAACTACTGTTCTTCAGTTTCAAATAGGAAAGGAAAAGAAAATGCTTTACTGTTGACTTGCTTTCTCACACTCCGAATCTGCTGATGACATAACGCAACAGGAAGTGGGTGCTGCTGAGAATGTTTCCCTCTGCCTGTTGTTGGACCTCCCACATCTATTGTCATCCGTCCCCCCGTGCCTCGTGTCATTACCCCGCAACCGCCTGTTGTCTTGTCTCCCTTCTCCCTGTAGCTATTGTCACACACCCTCACGCCTGTTGTTGTGCCCCCTTCCCTGCGTCTGTTGTCGCCTTCCGCAGGCCTGTTTTGCATGCCTGCCCCTGCATCTGTTGTCATGTGCCATCCCCCCGCCGTGCGCGCGCACACAGACACACACACACACGCACCACCTGTTGTTGCCTACTGTTTGCTGTTTCACTCCGTGCAAGACAGTGATGAGGTGACAATTGAGGCAGAGAGGACCTTTTCTTACTGCTTCTCTGACTCATTGGAATTGCACACACCTTTATAAATGGGCGATTTGGACAACTTTATCGAACTTCCCAGCATGCTGAGTGTTATATGGGAAGGGAGGTCCTCTGGTATACTGGGTTGAAATGGCAAGGAAAGTTTTCAAATGCTGGCAGTGATGTCACAAGACTGTATGGGCAGTAGGAACACCTCCTGCATTTGCAATGGCTGCAGCGAACACAGCTATTTTAAAAAATGAGCACTTCAGATTAAAATTCCCATCTGTATCATTGGGACTGGGGGTAACTCCCCCAACCCTTGAGCACATTGTTGTCAGTTTTTACTCTTGACCTGCTTTTGGTAACTATTCCGTACCTAGCAAGCCAATTGCACAAAGACATCTCCTTTCAGCATCTTTACCTAGTATTTCACCTAAGATGAATATATTTATGTCTTAATATTTAAGCCTCATATCTTCTTTCTTTCTATCTTCCCTTTTCCTGATTCCAATTCAGTGAGTTATTATAAAAGGAAGAATAGGAGAATGATTGGGGTTTATTGGAATATTAAAAAGATGGAATAAGAACAGGCCATCATACCCACCTAGTATACAATCTCTTGGAACTGGAGTGAGGATATTAATATCCAGATGAGGATCAACAGTTTTCAGTCTACATTACATTTGAATATTTTGTACTGCAGCTTATGTTTTATCATTTAGTCATAAAGAAAAATGAACTTACAGATGAGTTCATTGAAACGTGTTATAAGAGTGTTAACCAGTGTGCTGCTGGAGTGTCTCAGATCAGCTGAGTGCCCATTCAGTATGCAGTGTGCTGAAATAGTTGATTTTTTTTTCAATTGGAGTACCTAAATTGAGTTCCCTATGCCTGGATAATGAAGGAAGGTGATCAGGTAGGGCCTCTGCCCCCAATCACTTAACAGTGTCACTTTGTGCTTAGCAATTACCTACACCTGGATTTGTACTTGCTTGTGTATGACTGGGGTTGGGTTCACCATGGCCAACTGTCACGCTGACGCTCATCAAAATAAAATATTGCAGGTGATGGAAATCTAATACACACAGAAAATGCTGAAAACGTTCAGCAGGTTAAGCGGTATCCATGGAGGGAGAAACCGTTAACATTCCAGGCTGAGGGCATATCTTCAGAGCTCTGAAATATTAACACTATTTTTGTCTCCACAGGTGCTTCCAGATGTACTAAGTATTTCTGGCATTATCTCTCCTCATTGTTGACAGTTATTGTCTAGTCTTGCATGCAAAGAATAATCATTTGGCTAAAGCATTGAAGACCATGTCTCTACAAACTGGATTGAAGCAAAGGTTAGGTTTTTCTGGAAAGAAGCCTTAGCAAAAAGAAAAAAGATGGAAGAATAATTTTGCTGTCAAACCTTCTGGTGCTAACCTTTATTTGTCAAAGAGAGACAATGAACACTCAAATATGAACCAGCTAACTTTTCGACATTGGATCGTGATCAGGCACTAGGTCTGTGCCTGTTTTATTTTCCCCATATCCACAGAGGTTGTAACTTTGACTAGTTTCCATTGTTTTATTTTGATATTTCAGGTTAATATTTATCGCCTGGTTACAAAAGGGACTGTGGAAGAGGACATCATTGAACGTGCCAAGAAGAAAATGGTGCTAGATCACCTCGTGATCCAGAGAATGGATACTACAGGGCGGACAGTGTTAGACAACTCTGCTCGTCCCTCAACGTAAGCAACGTCAGTGTTTTTCCACCTTGGCTGTTTTTTTTTCCTCTGCACACCACTGCCAGGACTCTGCTGCTCATCCTGGCTTACACTTGGCTATGGATTCCGAGGTCTTGAGGGCACTCAGCAAGGGAGCAGTTAGTGGCAGCGTGGTCAGAGAGGACAGGAATGTCCGAGGTTGATTCCTTGGTTCATGCTGTGTTTTCCTGTCTCAGTGGAGATCACAGTGAAGACTTGACAATTGATTTCAATTAATTAGCGTTGTGCTAGAGCACAGAGCTCCTCTACCAGCTGATTAATCGCTGACCCTCAACCCAAAATACTGTGGATGTTGTAAATCTGCAATAAAACCAGTGAACTGGAGAAACTCAGCAAGTCTGTGGGAAAAGAAACAGAGTTAATGTTTTGAGTCAAGTAGGACCTTTTTCTGGATTGACGAAGAGTATACAGGACTTGAAATTTTAACTCTGTTTCTCAATCCACAATTGCAGTAGAACTGCTTAGCTTCTCTTTCTGTTTTTATTAGGGAATGAACGGGATCAGAATTGGTGTTGTCTTCTGCACTTGGAAAGGCATCCGATAACCATCCTCTTTATGTTTACATTATAGTTATTTGACAATACAGAAAACTTTGTTTTAACAGGCATCTTATTAATCAGCGAAAATTATATATCTCAAATATCATGAACTTTACTGTATTATTCTGTCCGATCATCAGTTTTTCTTTTAAATTTACTTAGCTCAGTGTAAGTATACTTGTTGTAAATATCAACAGTTCATTCAGTTTTGATTCAAATAGTGCAATGTACCGGGATGTCCAAGTAGTCATTTGAGGAACAAAAACAGAAGTTGCTGAAAAAGCTCAGCAGGTCTGGCAGCATCTGTGAAGAAAAATCAGACTTAACATTCTGGGTCTGGTGACCCTTACTCAAGATTTGACCTGAAACGTTAACTCTGATTTTTCTTCACAGATACTGCCAGACCTTTTGAGCTTTTTCCAGCAACTTCTGTTTTTGTTCCTAATTTGCAGCATCTGCAGTTCTTTCGGTTTTTATTTAATTATTTGAGGTTGTGAGTGAAAAGGCTCTCTGCTGGTAGGTTTTATTTAAGGCAAGGTTGCATTATTACTGAAGTGACTTATGCTGTAAATAAAATATAACAGTGATGTGAAACCCTCCTTTTAACATTTCAAATACTTAGTGTGTTTTTGCATTGATTATGTGGACCTCTTGATTATCTGGAATATTTGATCAGCAGGTACACTCCTGATCCCATAGGAACCGGTTAATAAAAGGCTTGCTGCGTATAAACTGAGTATTGCTTAAGAAAAGCATTTTTTTTTTGCCTTATATTCATCAGATCAATTTACAAGAAATGCCAATGTAAGGGTTACAACCCTTTTGTACTGTAGAAAAATAGAGCACTGATTGGCTGCCAAGTGATCTATGTTTGGTAGAAGTGTTAATATAGAGAATAAAAAAAAAACTGCGGATGCTCTAACTCGGGAACAAAAGCAGGCATTGCTGGAAAAGCTCAGCAGGTCTGGCAGCATCTGTGAAGAAGAAAATCGGTGTTAACGTTTTGGGACTGTTCTGAGGAAGGGTCACCGGTCCCGAAATGTTAACACTGATTTTTTTTCTTCACAGATGCTGCCAGACCTCCTGAGCTTTTCCAGCAGTGCCTGTTTTGTAACTATGGAGAATGTACCAGTTAGATGGTAACTGATTATGAATTAACAAGCTTTGTTTAAATTTAAAACAGGCAGCGTAACCATGTCAAGGCATTGTTTTGAGAAATGGCTGCCATCTTTTTTAGTTAAAACAAGTGCAATGTGTTTACATCTTTTGTCTGCCAAGTACAGGACCCTGCTTAATGTATTTAGGTCCAGTATGTAGAAGTGCTGCACATACCGAGCCTGACCACCAACCAAATTGTTTGCTAGTGTAATTCTTCAGCACACTGGATTATTCAGCAAATAATATTCAATTTTATAATTGCATCTCCTGTTGACTGGACCTTGCTTGTTTCGAGCAGCCAATGAGATGTGCTGTTTGATATGATCTGCCAGTCTTTGGGATCTACAGCTTAAATAGCTAGCATTACATTGGCACTGAGATTCATTCAGCACGTTACTCATTTGTGTGATAGGCAGAATACCTTTTTTGGCTGTTGGCAGCATCCTCTTAGAGGTGACCCCCATTTGTATTGCTACCGCACAGTAGCAGCATGAAATAGCTCCATGTTTTGCTCAACATTTTGAGGTACCTTACCTTGATCTTCAGGTAATTAGAGGCAGTGTTCAGGACCAAAAGTGATGTCCTTAGGGATGTTCATGATTTTGCACAGTGTAGGAAGAAGCCGTTCTGCTCATCATGCGCGCCATTCAATGTGATCATTATTGATAAGATCAAGAACAGGAGGACACAGATAAAAGGTAACTTGTGAAAGAAGCAAATGTGATGTGAAAAATCTTCACGCGCACAGTGGTTAGGTTTTGGAGTATGCTGCCTGAAAGTGTGGTAGAGATAGGTTTGATTGAACATTTCACTGGGGTGTTAGATTGTAATTTAGACAGGAACAATAATCAGGGTTAAGGGAAAAAGGCAAGACAATAGTAGTAAGTCCTAAAAGTTGTTGGAGAGCCAGTGCAAGCATAATGGGCTGAACAGCCTCCTTGCACTCCATCAATTCTGTGATTATCCGTTTCCCCTGTTTACATCAGGAAAGGACCTCATGAGATTAACCATTATCCCACAGGCTAGCTTTGCTGCTCTCTATCTCCGCATCAAGCTTGCAGAATAAACATAAAGCTCAGGCCCTTTGAGGTTGCAGATGAGGTTGACCTTGTAACACTTGGAATGATTGGAATCCGATTTATGGCCCAGGGAAGGAAGGCCTGCAGGGGACTGTGGTAGAGAACCCACAGCACATTGGCAAGTTGGGGTGAAAGCAGGACGAGAAGCTTAAATAAAGTGTCCCTTCATTCAGCAGTGCTTGCATACGTAAACGCTCACATTAATGTGTTGGTAGCCCAGCTTCTTGGTAGCCATTTTCAGGCAAGAGGCCGGTGCTTTCTGGAAAGCACATGCATTTTAGAATGGCATTTCAAACTTTCCACCGTGTCTATGCATTAGTGTAATGAACACATTGCACAGAATGGATAAGGCACTGGTTATTGAAATGGCTAATGATTTGTGTTTTCAGCTCAACGCCATTCAACAAAGAAGAACTGACCGCAATCTTAAAGTTTGGTGCTGAGGAGCTGTTCAAAGAGCCAGAGGGTGAGGAGTCTGAGCCACAGGTACTGCTGATCTCTACACTTTGTCAGTATTGGAAAAAACTTCGTAGAATTCTCAAACTTCAAAGTTTATTTTTAAGGTCAAAATATGTATAGAAAGTGCTGCAATACAAATGAAATTGATGTTCGCTTTTGCATGTAAAAGTAAATAGTTGTGCATCCTGGGTAGAGACGCTGAAAATTGCGCAGAAACATTTTGGTAGAGTAAATGAGGAGGTGATGTTTTTTGCTGTCAGGCTGGTTAGAAACCAGAAGATGCAAATTGAAGAACAATATGGAAAGACTAGAGTGGAAATGAGGATTTTTTTTTCCAAAGTTATGATCTGGAATGTCACTACCTGAAAAGATGGTAGAAGCAGATTCAATTGTAACTTTCAGAAAGGAGTTGACACTTCACTGTTAAAATTTTGCAGGGCAGTAGGGAAAGGGCAGGAAAGTGGGATGCAGCAGAAAACTTCTTAAAAGGTTCCGCTAATATTGGCTGCATGGCCTCCTTGGCTGTATAATCTGATGCTAAAGTTGCATCAATGTTGCTGGGCCATCTCATAGAAAAGTGTAGGTTTAGTTGACAACATTCACTGGCTACTATAGTCTGGAGCATTACAAACAAGAATACTGCGGATATGACCTGAGTTGGTGCTAACTTGGGATATCATTGAGGGAGGTGATAAATGTGCTACCCTTACCCCTTGCCTTTCTTGGCTAAGGTTGGAGGATAGTGCATGTCAGAATCCCTGCTGCATATTACTATCTGCTAAGTCAAGAAATTGTATCAGACTATACCTAGAGGGAAAACAGGACCAAGCTTAATTGTGTTCCATCTTCTGAAACTCCCTGTCAGAGTGCATGGACAAAAATCAGCCATGACCAAGTATCTAATATATGTACATGCTTTCGGGGTGAATGGGAAATTATTTTCAACAATTCTGTTGAAGATTCATTCAGTTAAGTGCGATTGCTAATAAAAATCAAACTCCACTTTCAGGAAATGGACATCGAAGAGATCCTACGTCTCGCAGAAACAAGAGAAAATGAACAATCTGTGAGTCCAACAGATGAGCTGCTGTCCCAGTTCAAGGTAAGATTGGTGATTAGTCATCAGTTCGTTGGATTGATGCTGCACGTTGGAGAATGTAATAGCTGTGTCCAGCCTTAGCCTGTCATTAGCAGGCTGGCGTCTTCATTGACTATGCTCTCGAACATGACACTGCCATTGGGATGGGAATTGTTGCCTTGTGCATGTTGTGATTTTGCTGTTCCTCATCACCCCTCCAGGTGGCGAACTTTAGCACAATGGAGGAGAATGAGCCCGAAGTGGATGACAAGCAGGTTAAGGAATGGGACGACATCATCCCGGAGGAGCAGTGGAAAAAGATCGAAGAGGAGGCACGGCAGAAAGAGCTGGAAGAAATTTATATGCTTCCAAGGAGTAGAAGTTCAACTAAAAAGGTACAGAATCTGTCACAAGCAAGTGACTGCCTGTCTCGTGCCTCTCACTCTCTAGGATAAAATAGCTGAGTCCTGTCTGCACTGTTCTGTTAGGGGTTTTTCTTTCCTCGTTTGGTCCTTGGTATACATTTGAAATGTAGTTCCTCTTACAGGTGCAGTAGTAGTTTGCCTGTTTCCAAGTCTGGGGGCCTGAGTTCAAGTCCCACCTGCTCCATGCGTGTGTAATAACATTGCAGAACCCGTTGGCTAGAAAATATCTACATCTGGAATGTCAAGGTGTCAAATCGATGCTACTCATTGAGGCAAGCTGGAAAGGTGGGGCAGAGAGCTGCATCCTGCTCTCTCTCTTTCTTTCCTTCTCTCTCTTAGAGTTTAATTGTAGGCAGGTGGATGGCTTTTATCAGAGTTTCACTTCAGCTCCTATAAAGTTGGTGTGGTGTAGGCTGAAAATGTTTCACTTTAAATCAATGTAAGGCTGAGTAAAATTTGGCTCCAATACTATTCTTCACCAGCCCTGTCTGGAATAGAGCATGGCGGTGAAGGATGGTTGTCAAAAGGTGAAGATTCATTGCTAGAGTTTTAGAGCAAGGCAAGAGGCCCTTTGGCCCATCATGTGCATACCGATCATTGAGCATCTCTCTACCCTAGTCCTGTTGGCCAGCTCTTGGCCTGTAGCTTGGTATGCGATGGTGTTTCCAGTGTTCATCTAAATAATTAACTGTTATGATGGTTCCCACCTCTACTACTCCTTACAGGCACAGAGTCCCAGGTACCCAGCACCTTCTGGCTGTAAAAAAAAAAACACTCCTCCAATTCCTGGCCCTTATCTTAAATCTGTGCCCCCGGTCATTGGCCTGTGTACTAACGGCGACAACGTTTCTTCCTATTGGATACTTGGTCAGCATGGATGAATTAGATTGAAGGGTCTATGCTGTATGACTCTATGACTTTTTAACCAAATGCTCTTCGTAATTTTATAACAGCTGACCTCAGCCTTCTCTGCTCTAAGGAAAAGAATAGCATTGGAACCAATTCTTCCTCTGCTGTACTTTATTCAGAGTGAAACATTACCAGCACATGCCTCCCTTATTCCTTTGAAAAAACATTTCATTCATTAATAACAAGGGCTTGTCTGCAGGACTGTGAGCAACAGACTGAACTACCAGTAGAATCATTGTGCTGACTGCAGTGAAATATCTAGCACCATTTATATGCTGGTCTAATTTGCCCTTTAAAACATTAGTTTTCAAATTTAACAAGAAGGTGGTAAATACCTACTGAAGTGATGTGCAGACAAGAGGAGCTTGGGATCACTTTTTCTTCTTTGCTGTAAAATTGCCTTAAAGCCTATATAAACAGATAGTGCTGGTTGCTGTGGGATTATACATTGTTCTTGCAGACATAGAGCCCAGATCAAGACAGCCCATACTGGTCTGAGGTGACTTTTAAGAGAGCAGTGAATGAACGGTGTAAGAAATGACAAATGTTATAATGACACATTACAGACACATTTATACATTTGGGACCAAGGCGCATTCATTGATCAGACTCCAGAGAGCTTTCACTCGACACCCTATCTGTGAATATTTGATGTTGATTTTGGATGCCAAAGGCAAAGCCATATTGGAACAAGCTGCTAAGGGAAATGGTCAAGTCACATCACTTGAAGTCTTTGATACATTTTTAGATTATTTGCATTTATAGCTGTTTCATTATGAAGACTATCATCTCAGGGCTCATGTCTGATTCAGCTAGCATAACACATATAACGACTCTTGAGAATGTGAATTTCAGTCTATGATGCCAACACAACCAAAGCAGAAGCCTGAAATGAAAAAAAGTTATTTTCTCGAGAACTCGCATTCTTCACCTCGGCAAAATAGCAATGTGTTTAAGAAAGATGCTGAACTTTGCACTAAATTAAGTTCAGACTTCAAACAAGCCTAATTTGTTATTGTCAGGGGACCAGTTGACCTGGCTGAGTCTCTCTTTTGTTTTTCTGAAAATGGAGCTGGGTTTTCAGATCACGTCACTGGTGAATTTTCTCTTGCATCCTGCACACCATTTGACTCTTTGTTCAACACGCAGCCTGTGCTGAGCTTGCTGATGTCTATCTGTATTGGAGCTACAGCTGGTTGCAGCGCTCCTTCATACTGGAAGAGTAAATTATACTCTCTTCCCATTTCTGATCAGTGCTCTGCGATTCATTTTGCAACTATACGTGCCTGCATGCAGTGTGAAAATAATGCGTCTTCCTCCTGATTGAAGAGAGCTGACTGGCCCTTATCAGAAAACCTAAAGTGTATTCATTTATGTGTGAGCGACTGAAGGAACTGCTCTGATTGTAAAACTCAAGAAAGGAAGAGGATGCATTTGGATAGGGAAAATGCTAACTGGTGTCAAACATAACATTGTTGGTGGTTTTAGGCTCAGGCAAATGGCAGCGATTCGGATGCTGGATCACGGCGAAGGCGGCAAAGGTCATCTGGGTCAGAGAGTGAAACCGAGGAAAGTGAAGATGAGGATAAACGACCCAAGCGGAGAGGCCGTCCCCGGACAGTCCGCAGAGACATGGTGGATGGTTTCACAGATGCTGAAATCAGGAGGTAAGTGACAAGGTCATCCTGCTGCATGTGCCACATACGATGGCAGTCAACCTTACAAAGTCCAGCAAGCTTAATTGTCAGAGATAACAAGGTGTAGAGCTGGATGAACACAGCAGGCCAAGCAGCATCATAGGAGCAGGAAGGCTGACGTTTCAGGCCTAGACCCTTCTTCAGCGGTGTTCATCATGTGTTCATCCAGCTCTACACCTTGTTATCTCAGATTTTCCAGCATCTGCAGTTCCTACTATCTCTGATACAAGCTTAATTGTCACTTGTTTTTCTGCTGAATTTAATGGATCTGATGTTTTAGGACATGTTTAAATTAGCATTAAATCCTACAGAACACTGCAGAATGAAAGATTAAGTTGCTTTGTTGTCCTTTTTAGCATGCCCTTCTGCAAGAAGGGGATAAATATATTATTAAACATAGAGGTCTGAAGGGAATTAAATTCCACTACACTTGTGATCCTTCTCTTGCAGGTTTATCAAGAGTTATAAAAAGTTTGGTGCTCCTCTTGAGAGGTAATCCTTTTTCCTGTGAAGTTTGTATCATCTTATTTTTGTTTCACTCCCTCCACCAAGGCACCTGTCCCAAAACTGCTAAACTTTTCTTGTGGCCTGCAAGGTTTGCATATTAGTTTTCCATTTCTCTCCCTATCTCTCCTGAAGGTATTGGTTCCTTGCTGTGGGTGAGAATCCCATGAGAAACAGTGACCCCCTAACACCCCATGCCTATCACCACTATCTTTGTGAGTCAAGATCTGAGATTGTTGACAGTGTCTGACTGTGGGAGAGAATTGGAGAGTAGCAATTTGGAACCGGGATCTGATTGTTTGTTCACTACTGCTAGGTCACTGAAGCTAATTGGGACGGCACACTGGCTCGGTGGTTAGCACTGCTGCCTCACAATGCCAAGGACCCAGGTTCAATTCCACTCTCGAGTGACTGTCTCTGTGGAGTTTGCACATTCTCCTCCCCGTGTCTGCGTGGGTTGCCTCCGGGTGCTTTGGTTTCCTCCCACAGTCCAAAATGTGCACGTTAGGTGGATTGGAAATGCTAAATCGCCCATGGTATCCAGGGAGGTGCAGGCTAGGTAGATTAGCCATGGAGAATGCAGGGTTACAGGGTAGGTAGGGGGTGGACAAGCGTGGATCTGGGTAGGGTGCTCTTTGGAGGGCCAAATTGGCCTTGATGGCCCAAATGGCCTGCTTCTACACTGTCGGTATTCTATGATTCTAATAATAGTATCCTAACCTGTTCTGACCATGATTTGCAGACCATTGGTTAACCCAAGTGACTTTCTCATGTGTGAGACTCAACTCTATACCGTCCAGTCTGTCATTTGAGATATTGCTGGAGTGAACGTTTTACCTTTATTGCCTGTAATAAATTTTTAAGCTGTATTAATATGTTGTATTCTAATATAATTTCACAGCATTAACAAGAAATTGAAATTTGGTTTTTTGTTGTATCCAAGACTTGAAGGTATTGCTCGTGATGCAGAGCTGGTTGACAAGTCTATTGCAGATCTCCAGCGACTGGGCGAGCTCATACATAATGGCTGTGTGATGGCTCTCAAGGAATTTGAAGAACAGTTAAAAGAAAACCCTGGCCTGGAGGGTAAGCACTGGGCCCTGAACTCCTGTTGTCTGCTCTGTATACTTAACCTGCTCTTTGCTTTCTATGATTTGGTTTCTATGATTTGCAAGAATGCTGACACAAGGGCTGAGGAGCGTTGTTGGGTATCCTCTGAAAATCAAATTGCAACAAAGATTCAAGGAATGGGTTAAGAGCAGAGTGGAATTCCTTGAAGATTTTCCACCTCCCATTGCCTTCCTTCTGAGTCACACCATGTGCCCCTCAGAGTGAAGGGCTGTATAAATGTAAGTTTGACCAGTGGCCAAAACTACCTCAATTATCATAAAATTGATAATGTGGCCATTTCTTGATATTTAACATCACACAAAGGCTTGAAGCAATCTATATGTCTGTCTACTCATTATATTATATGTATATATAAAGCCCACCAGGACCATTCAAATAATGTGCAGCATTGAGCCGTATGGTGGAAATCATCTATATTTTTATACCATTGGCATAGAAGCATTGCTGAACTTAGTTCTTATAACTCCATCACAATCTCGCTCTGTCTGCACCTTCTGTGCAGCTGTAACACTGTATTCTGCGTTCCGTTCTGTTCTCCTATCCTGATACACTTTGTATGGTATGCAAAACAACACTTTTCACTGTATCTCTGTACATGTGACAACAATACATCATACAATCAGTCAATCTTAGCTGCTGTCTGTATTTCTCTTATTCTAACCTGATCTGTTCTGGATGGTTGCTGTTCCCTTGCAGGGAAGACAGTTTAGCTTGTTTATTCAGCAGATTTCTCACATTTCTAAGTTAGGTTGTCCCTGTGATCAGCCATCTTTGAGGCATTCACTGTATTACATCCTTATTCCAAGTTGTTGAAACTTTACCATTTTCTACATAGGTCCAACTGTGACTAGCATATTTATTGTTTGGGGTGGAGACACACTTAGTGCAATGATGTTTTCAGGATGTACTTTGGAGCTGGTGGTCCATTTGTAGCATTGTTTATTCATTTAAAGTCAAAGAATACATTCTAATTTTTTAGAAATTAGAAAAGATGCAATGCAGAAAGCTACTAATAGGTTCCTGGTAATCAAAGAAATGTGGTCTGCAAAGCAAAATTGTTCAATAACCCAACCAGTTGGTTTGAAAGGGGAGCTACATAGCTCTGTGCTTTTTTCTGACTGCCGCTCCTATGTTATAATTCTGACCAATCTGTTACAGGAAAGGGCCCTGGGAAAAAGAGAGGACCAACAATCAAGGTTTCTGGTGTCCAGGTCAATGTTAAATCGATTCTCATTCATGAAGATGAGTTTGAGGCTTTGCATAAAGCCATTCCTATGGACCCTGAGGAAAGAAAAAAGTGAGTTTAGTAATTTGTGCTTCAGAATATATTTGAGGCATTCATATTTCTGTCACTGTAGTTTCTATACACTACTCTCATTAAGTTTGAGGTAATGAAGATGGAAGCACAATGCAATGTAAAATTGAATTCATTGTTCTGCTGCTGAGGTGGTACTGGAAACCATGGTGTCACACCCATATTAAGAAAACACTGGATGCAGAGTTTAATTGCATATCTTTTAAAAATAGTGATCAGTGAGGCTAGTTTTTTCTTTGCTGGTTTCTGATCCTGGTCAGTTTCTTTGCGGATTCCAAGTGATTGCCTTTCTATTTGTCGCACATTTTGAGGGTGATGTTTCAGGTAGGACAAATAAATGAGAAACCTGGTCAGCATGGACGAGTTGGACCGAAGGGTCTGTTTCCATGCTGTTTGACTCTAACGAAAATGTGTCACTCTTTTCCGTTGTGTTAAGTAGATTGAAGATAATCTGGCAACTACTGTCTTTTGATACTTAAGTCTGTGCTGACATTGCTGACCTCAAAGCAATATTTAAAGTTAGTGGAATTGCTTTCTGTATTCCTGTATTTGAGGAAGTGGGAATAATCCAACAAACTCATTGCCACTTGCTATATCATGAGTCGTCTTCCCACTTTGGGGTATGAAAAATGCATGGATGCTAGAGCTCAGTCTTGGGGTAAGCTGTGATGTTAACGTGCAGTCACAACGGCCTCTGAGACTTTGAACAGTCAAGGCTTCTACAGGGATGGTGGAGGTACCAGAAGCAAGCTGGTTCCTGTGGAATCCCAACCAAATGAGGAATCTATCATCTTGAATGGGATGAGAAAGGTGAATATTCAACTGTTGCCCGTACCTTTCTATTCCTGGGCATTTCTAACTTTTCTAATATTTGTCTCTTGCATTGTGTAAGCGCTCGGGCAAAGATGGAGTGCCCCGCAGCCTGAAGCAATCCGCTTGCTTGTGATACATTAAAACAGGACATTGTGTAGTCACTGAGGTTGGTCTGTGTGCTACCTCTAAAAAGTGCAGTGATTTACATGCTGTTTCCGCTGTGTAGGTATCGCTTACCCTGCCATGCGAAGGCAGTGCATTTCGACACAGATTGGGGTGTGGAGGAGGATTCCAATTTGCTGATAGGGATCTATGAGTGTGGTTATAGCAACTGGGAGCAAATAAAAATGGACCCAGATCTGCAGCTTACCAATAAGGTAGGCCATTCCATGTTCCATTTGATGAATATGCAGCTTGCTTTGCATCAAGTCATAATTGGGAAATGAGCCAATTAAACATTTGATCCTCGTCAGCACCTCACTCTTTACGGTAGTTTTCATAGAATCCCTACAATGTGGATACAGGCCCTTCGGCCCAACATGTCCACACCAACCCTCAGAGCATCCCACCCAGGCCCATCCCCCTATAACCCACCTAATCTACACATCCCTGAACACTACAGGGCAATTTGGCATGGCTAATCCACCTAGCCTGCACATCTTTGGACTGTGGGAAGAAACCGGAGGAAACCCACGCAGACACAGTGAGAATGAGCAAACTCCACACAGACAGTCGCCCGAGGGTGGAATCGAACCCGGGTCCCTGGCGCTGTGAGGCAGCAGTGCTAACCACTGAGCCACCAGTTTTATTGGGAAGATGATGACGTGATGGGTTCAGTACTGGAGTTTTATCTCTTGGACATGGCTCATAACTGCCCAGACTTATATTGAAGGAAGTATGCATGGAGTCTCCTGTTTGCTGGCTGCCAGGGTCCTGTGTGGTACAAGTCTGAGGAAACTAGGTGTGAGCCAACAGCTCAAAATTGTAACTGGTACCCAAAAGAGCAACAAGATAGTTGGCATTGGAAATGGTACCTTGCATTTCACCAGAGCTGTAATTTAACATAGGAAATACTTTGCCAGTAATTGGCTGATTGATATGGGCAAGTGTTTGGCTCCCCAGATATGCCTGTCCGATAACCAAAAAAGATTCTGAATGTGAGCTGTTTACTGCTGTCTAAGGTGCTGAACTTACGCTGACCATTAGGAGGCACACAAATGCTTAATTGTCCACACCTCTCATTTTGCACTTGTTCTTCCCACAGGGACACAGTTACATTTGGAATTTGAGATGTGTGTAACTGAGTCACGACGGTGCAAAGCCCACTACCATTTCCCGATTAGACTGCTGTCATGTACATCTAAGCTTTTTAAAGTCTGAGAATTTCTGCCAGTGTTGTACCTTCCAAGAATATCTGAAAGACATGAAACACTTGAAAATGAATAAAATCAATTATTATTCTGATGTCTTGCTCCATTTGCCTGGGAGCTATACCCAGATTTGAAGAGTCGTGGACATAGGAGCTGAATAATATCTAAACTGCAATTAAAATGCCCACAAGCGTGGAGCCCAGGGTAATTCCTTAAGGAAATTGTGCAAATGTTATTTTTTTTTTGGTGGTGCAGTGTCAGGTGTAACTGATTGCACATATCGAGTATTTCTCCTCTTCCAGATTCTTCCAGATGATCCCGACCGCAAACCGCAAGCCAAGCATCTCCAGTCGCGAGCTGATTATTTGATTAAGCTTCTGAAGAAGGACATGATCAAGAAGGATGCTTTGAAACAGGAAGAGGAGGTTAGTTAAATAGGTGTGAAGCAGCGCTTGGGTAAGAAAGCTCAGGTTCCCTGGACATACAGACTCAGAGCCACATGGTGCAGATGAGATTTACTGAGAATAAAAGAACCAGGAATAGGCAATTCAGCCCCTCGAGCCTGCTATTTAATATGATTGTGGCCGATCTCATCTTGGCCTCAACTCCACTTTGCTGCCCACTCTCCATAACCTTTCAACCCATTACTAAAAATCTGTGTATCTGCTCCCTAAATTTATTCCATGTCCCAGCATTCACCACACTGTAGGCTAGTCAATTCACGACTCTTTGAGAAAATTAATTTCTCCTCATCTCTGTATTAAATCTGTTGCCCTTTATCCTTGTTCTTGAGGAGGAGCTGGGTGAGCACCCGAGGGTAAAAGAGAATGAAGGGCATGCTGATGATGTGGGCAGAGGTTTATTTGGTGTATACGCAGTAGCATAGAACAGTCTGTTTCTGTGATATAGATTACCCTTTGTTTGCAGCATTACCATCTGGTTCACTAATGTCCTTTAGGGAAGGAAACTGCCATCCTTACCCGGTCTGGCTTGCATGTGATTCCAGACCCGCAGTAATGTGGTTGACTTTTAACTGCCCTCTCGGCAATAAATGCTGGCCTAGTCAGCAATACCCTATCCCATGAATGAATAAAAAAATGTTAAAAAGAAGAGTACGATTTACATTTGCATGGCATCTCATCATAACATCTGATATGTCGAAGGTCTTGAGATGGACGCGCTGTAATGGTTGCTAACATATGTGACCCTACAAAAAAGGTGTTTAGTCAAGTCTGTTATTTAGGAGGGGGGTGGTGGTGGTGCATGTTTGGCGGTTGTCACTGAGATCATCAGATTTATTCCACAGTCTTTCAAACAACGGCAAAAAATGAACAACATTCATTAGAAACTCTGGAAGTGGCAATAATGGCTTTGATTTCACATCTTGTCCAAAGCCTGATGCCTCCAATAATTTAACACCATTCAGCTCTACATTGAAATGTCAACTTGCTTTTTTGTCCTAATTATGGAACAAAGCTTAAACCTACAATCTCTTGGTCTGAACATGTCTGCGCTATCAATTAAACCAAACTGATACACAAATGCAAAGTGAGTCAAAGAGATTCCTTGGTTTTCAGTTTTTCTTAGCTCTTTAGGCAGAGAAGGGTATGGTAATGTTGGAAGTTAATCCTGCATATTGTTTTGATAGGCAGTGAGAATACTTGATTGGGAAATTCACTTATATTTAGATGCTGCAGAATGTTTTGAAAAGTTGCTTTTTCTTACATAGACGAAACCAAAGAAGAGGAAACCAAGAGTAAAGAAAGAGAATAAGGCACCCAGGCTGAAGGATGAAAGTGGCAATGACATCACATCCCCTCGGCTTTCTGACAATCCTTCTGAGGAGGATGGAGAGCTGAAGGTAAATTGTGGGAATCCGGTGCTTAAACAGGCGCTTCCTCTTGAAGTTGACTGGCGAGAAGGGAATAGGTGGAAAACATTATTGCAATTTATCCAGTTGTGTTTCTACAAGACTGAACAGTTTTGCCTCACATTTTTGTGAAGCAGATGCGCAGAGCGATCAAATGAATGTAGGCCATTTAGCCATTGGCCCCATTCTTTCAGAGTACGTGTTAGGTTAACCTATTTCAATCTCCTTCCTACATTACCTGTTGATCCCCTCTTTAGGTCTTCCCTACACTAAAAATATGACCATTTCTGTCATTTGACTTCTAGCCACTACAGCTTTTCCTGTTCTCACACTAAACAAAGCCCATCAATACCCTGACTTTATGCACATCAGTTCTCATCACTATTTCCAGTCCTCTTCCTTTGCTTTGCAAGTAGAATTTTTAAAAAAATCTTTATTCTCCATGTATGGGCACTGCTGACGAGGTCGGCGTTTATTATGCGTGAAAAGATGCTGCTGTGTTGAGCCATCAGAGTCTGTATGGTGAAGATGCTTCTGCAGTGATCTTAGCTGTGGAGCTCAAGGGTATTGATCCAGTGATTTTTGTTTTGTAACCTGTAGTTCAGTAGTGATAAACCAAGAGCTTATTTCACTATGTCTCTATCAGTCTGCTTCATTGAGTTATCTTCTGTCAAGTAGATTTAGACACAAATGGCCACAACAATCACTTTTGGCCCAGGATCATAGAATTGTATGACACAGAACGCAGCTATTGGGCTCATCATGCTGTTTGTTTGAAAGAGCAGTCTAATTAGTTCAGTTCATTTCCTCTCTTCCCATAGGCTGTGAATTTCATCCAGTAAAAGTTTTTTACACATTACACATAATGTTTACTCACTGAATAAGAGACATTTGTAACCCATTGCCTTTAAGTGTGGTAGTAGATGAGATGATTAATAATCTCCAAAAGGAAATGGGATGCAAGTTGGAGGAAATAAACCTGCAGGGCCACAGAGGGAATAGGACTAGACGGATGACTGTACAGAGAACCAGTATGGATTTGATGAGCCAAATGCTTGTCTGCTATGCCATTGATTCGTTAAATAAGCTATGATGAAGCTGACTACCAGTAAACAGGGCAGTGTTCTTAACTGTCTTTTTAAAAGTTTGATTTCAAATGCTTTGATGTTCCTGCAGGATGGTGGCTTGGATGGAGCTCCTGTGAAGAAAAAATTGAAGAAGAAAGACAACAAGGAGAACAAGGAGAAAGGTGATCTCAAGAAGGAGAAAGATGGGCAGAAAGGGAAAAAGAAGACAAAGACTAAGAAGGACAAGGTAGTGAGAGATGTTAACTTGCATCATCAAATCAAAGGCAGAAACTTCCACAGTAGTTCAGACCATCCTGACGTGAGTTACATAGAAAATAGGGGCTGAAGTAGGCCATTTGGCCCTTCGAGCCTGCTTCACTGTTCAGTAAGATCACGACTAATCAAACAACTCAGTACCCTGTTACTGCTTTCTCCCCATACCCTTACATCCCTCTATTCCTAAGAACTATATCTAACTTTTTCTTGAAAACATTCAATGCTTTGGCCTCAACTGCTTTCTGTGGCAGAGAATACCACAGGCTCGCCATTCTCTGTTTGACGAAATATTTCATCACGGTCCTAAATGGCCTATCCCCTCTCCTCAAACTGTCACCCCCGTTCTGGACTCCCCAGTCATCTGGAACGTCATTCCTGCATTTACCCTGTTTAGTCCTTTTAGAATTTTATAGTTCTGTAAGATCATCCCTCATTCTTCTCAACTCCAGTGAATAAAACTCCTAACCAATCTTCGTACATCAATCCTGCCATCCCAGGAATCAGTCTGGTAAACATTTGTTACACTCCTTCCATAGCCAGAACAGTCGTCTTCACATAAGGAGACGAAAACAGTACATTTGTTACTGCCAATTAGGTACTTTTAAAGTTTAGTCACATGTTATGACTAAAATAAATCATTGAGGTATCTCATTGCTCTGATTCTAATCTCTTAGCCAATGTTGATTTTAGATGTTCCACCAGGGGTGGCCAGGCCTTCAGTTGCCTTTTCTTAAATTTATTATTTCATGGGATGTGGGCACCGCTGGCTAGGCCAGCATTTATTTCCCATCCCTACTTGCCCATGAGAAGTGGTGGTGGGCTGCCTTCTCAAACCGCTAATAGTCCATGCGGTTTAAGTATAGCCGTGGTACTATGAAGAAGGGAGTTCCAGAATTTTGACCCAGCAACAGTTAAGGACAGCAATGTAGTTCCAAGTCAGGGTGGTGTGTGTGACTTGGTGGGGAAGTTGCTGGTGGTGTTCCCATGCATCAGCTGCTCTTGTCCTTCCAGGTGGTAGAGGTCGTGGATTTGGAAGATGCTGTCGGAGGAGCCTTGGTGAGTTGCTGCAATGCATCTTGCAGTTGGCACCTACAGCTATAACTGTGTTGTTGGCAGAGGGAACACTCCCCGTATGTTGTTAGTGTGGTATTCAGGCATGGTAATACCATTGAACTTCAAGGGGAGATGGGTTAGATTCTCTCATGTGTGAGATGATAATTACTTGATGCTAATCTTGCTGTACATTGACACACACTGATCCACTATCTGAAAAGTTATAAATGGTCTGAATGCCCATTTCTGACCTTATGGCTGGAAAGTCATTGATGGATCAGCTGAAGATTGTTGGACACTACCTTGGGGAACATAGGGCTCTTGTAGTGAAGAGGTAGTGTCCTCACCTGTGAACCAGGAGGCCCAGTTTCAAGTCTCACCTGCTTCAGAGATGTCATAGCATCTCTGAACAGGTTGTTTGGAAAATATCTATCATGAGGAACACCTTTGGTAATGTCCTGGGGCTGAGAAGGCTGGCCTCCAATAAACACAGCCATTTTCCTTTATCCTAGTTAGGGTTCCAACCAGGTTAAAGGATCCCCATTGATTCCAGTTTTGCTAGGGCATGTCAGTGTCGGTCACATGTAGCCTTGATATCAAAGGGCAGTGCCTGTCCCTTCCCATCCTGTGATTTGAGCTCTTTTTCCATTCTTGGATCAAGGCTTCAATGAGGTAAGAGCTGTGTGACCCTAGCAGTACCCAAACTGAGCATCAGTGAGCTCTTATAGCTGAATAAGTGCTGTTTGTTGGACTGTTGACAACATCTCCCATCACTTTTCATCACTGAGAGTAGTCTGATGAGGCAATAATGGGCCAGGTTGAACTGTTCCTGATCTTCATGTACATACAGCTATGTACAGGACATAGCTGGGTCATTTCCCACATTGCTGGTTAGGTTCTAGTTGTACAGCTGTATAGGACCACTTAACAAGGGGGCACAGCAAGTTCTGGAGCTTAAGTCTTCAGTATCATTGCCAGATTATTGTCAGGGCCCACAGCGTTTGCAGTACCCAAAGCCTTTGGCTGTGTCTTAATATCAAAGTGGGTGGAGTCAGATAGCTTGAAGACTGGCGTGTGTTGATATTCGGGAATTCAAGATGAGGCCGAGATGGATCATTCATTCAGAACTTCTGGCTGAAGGTGGTTTAAAATCATAGTATTGTTGAATCCCTGCAGTGCAGACAGAAACCATTCAGCCCATCAAATCTGCACCAACGCCCCGAAGAGCATCCCAACCAGAATCCCCCAGCCTATCTCCAAAACCCCTCATGAGGTTTTTAACCACGGCTAACCCACCTAACCTGCACATCCCTGGACACTACAGGACAATTCTTAGCATGGTCAATCCACCTAACCTGCACATCCCTATGGGATAATTTGAGCACCGAGGGGAAACCCATGCAGATATGGAGAGAAAATGCCTCAACCTTGCCTTTTGCCTGTAACTGAAAACACCCTCTTTTAAACATCTTTCCACCTCTAGCTTGCTTTACCTCTTTAAGATGCTCTTAAAACTTATCTGTTTGACCAAGCTTTTGGTCATCTGATCCAATATCTCCTTTGGTGGCTCAATATCATATTGTTTTACAAGGCTGCTGGGAAGCCCTTGGGATGTTTTGTTGCATTAAAACTGCTATGTATAACATGCATTGTTGTCCAAATATCTGAGATGCTGGGGCTGTGGAATCTGCCCATCAGCAAAGTGCAAACTCAGGCTAGTGACTTCAAACTTCTCTGACCTCAAGCATTCTGCAAGTTCCTTGTGAACAAAACTACATTGCCATCCTAAGGGATAGCAAGAACTGCAGATGCTGGAGTAAGAGATAACACAGCGTGGAGCTGGAGGAACACAGCAGGCCAGACAGCATCAGAGGAGCAGGAAAGTTGATGTTTCGGGTCAGAGAAGGGACCTCCAGCTCCACACTGTGCTACATTGCCATCCTAGTTTGGGCTGACTGACCCACTGTCAGAAGCATTGTCGGTCGCTGTTGCTGGTGGATTTGCGAGGTGCAGATGACGAAGTAGAACAAACAGCTGAGCCAGAAGCTCTGAAAGCTTAACCAACATACCACCTCGACAGAGTGTCTTCTCAACTGGTGTTTATTTTTGACATAAGCAAGTCCAAGAGGATTTGACACCAATGTGCTTTTGTGCAGAGATTGATTTTAGAGCTCTCACAGATTGCTTGGATAAAGGTTTCTGGGCTAGTATCTCTGGTCATTCTGGAGGAGGGTGAACTCTTAGCTCATGAAACCTCTGATTAGGGTTCAGATTTGGGAATCATTGCCTGTTCCTACTTTCCTGTATGGTTAATTTAATTCAAAACAAAATACTCCAAATAGACAGCAGATAATGTATCTGTGGAGAGTAAAAGTGTTAATACTTCAGACCAATGATCTTCCACCTGTATTGAAATGTTAACTGTTTCCCTTGGCACCAGTGCTGCCTGAACACATTTTCTGTTTATGTTGCAGAGCTCCAGCATTTACAGTCTTTTGCTTTGTGTTAGTTTAGGTTATTTTCTTACTTTGTCTTCCAAACAGATGAAGTCTGATGCCAAGGACAAGATTCGGAAGTCTATGTCCACAGGTCCAGTTCACATTACAGCAGGAAATGACCCAGTGCCAATTGGAGAGGAGGGTGAGGATGAGTTGGACCAGGAAACATTCAGCATTGTAAGTACCTATATCAGAATTAAGAGGGAAACTGTATGCCTGAGATTCTTGGCTAAATTTTTAAAGTTACCCTATAAAGAATGGCTGCAAGAATAAACCGTTACACAAAATTAATCTGGAAACATTAGGAGCTGTATGAGTGTTTGTTGATTTAATAATTAAGGAATGCTGTGGTGGTGAATGGAACATTCAGTTAGCATCATGCACTGTCATTGTATTTGATTATTTGTTCATTAGTGTTTTCTTCCCAGAAGGTAGACTTTCATGCATCTCCCCCTCTGTGTATCCTCAGCTGCTCTCACACATCCATCATAGAATCAATTGCATCTATTCCATCATATTCATTATTCAGCTCAATCAATATATAAAATACATGCCTTTCGTTACACTGACAGTAACTGCCCGTCTACTGTTTGCTCAACTGATGAGACTGAAGATTGTATACCTTTCTGTTTGATGTTATGTATTAATTTGCTATTTTCTCCAGTCACTTGCAGATTAGTTTTTTTCTGTCTTAAGTCCACAATCTGAATGAATTCAACCTAGCAGTAGTTCCAGGGTGTAGAACATAGATGACAAAACATAACACTTTGATATTCGATGTCTGAGATTCAGTTTTGTTTTAGATTGATGTGTGCTTTGTTCTGACAAAGGTGAGGTCAGCCTTAGGGTCATACTCTGTCTACACTGTCAGTTCAGGTTAGCTACAGAGAACAACTCCTGCACCATGCCGTCAGACACTCAAATAATCAGTTTTCATGCCTGAACAAAGGAGGGAAGAAAATCATCCATCCTGCTCCTGATGTCTTTCCACTGTTGATCATACGTTCATTGTATTGTTAAGATACACAGGTAATGGGCATTGTTCAATCAAGTACAAAGAGCACTTTTGAGCCCTCTTGTAGCATGGTGGTAGTGACCCTGCCCCTGGACAGGAGGCCTGGGTTCAAGTCCCATCTGCTCCAGAGGGCTGTAATAACATCTATCTCTGAACATATTGATTTGAAAAAGAGGTTAAATTTTTAAAAAAAACAACAGCACTTGTAAAGGAAGACTGCTCTTGTTAGTGTGCCTTTAAAGGGCTGTCTCCTGTTTAATTGGTCTCAACAAAATATTATAAAGAGTGACTGAGCCATTTAAGGAGCTATCACCTTGTTTATTTGGTTTAATTAGTTATTCAAAAACAGTAGAAAGAGAGGCTGTTGGGCAGTGAGTTAGTTTGTAGAAGGCAGACATTCATGATGCTGCATTCTTTAGATAAATGAGAGGATTTGCATCTGGTTTCATACTTCACCTTTTAATATCTAGAATCCTTGGCAAGGAAGTGAGGATGTCTGAATGCTTGGTTGAGGACAGATAGCACTCACCTTCAGGAGATAAGCCATGCATTTAAGTTATATCTTAGGCTGAGTAAGTGATGAACACATTTAGTGAGGTACCACTCAAGTTAGAACTCAAAAAAGGTCAAGGGTGCAGCTAGTCACCAAAACGGAGATGATTGGGTTTTGAAATTGTGTGGCTGATTGAGCATCTGTGAAGGAATATTCTTTGTCCTTTACTCTGTCAGTGCAAGGAGCGAATGCGGCCAGTTAAGAAAGCTCTCAAGCAGCTGGACAAGCCAGAAGATGGGCTGTCTGAGAAGGAGCAGCTCCAACACACCCGCAGCTGCCTACTGAAGATTGGTGACCGCATCAGTGAGTGCCTTAAAGCATACACTGACTCTGAGCAAGTCAAGATCTGGAGAAGGTACAGTGTAATGGTTTTCTTTCAATATCACATCCATTCGATGGCCGTGTTGGGTCTTATTCACTTAGGGTGAGATGAGTTCAGCCTTTTTTTGTGATATGCACAAAAGTGTAAATATTACTGTCAACTAGACTCGGCTGTGTATTCAAATGGATTTGTGGATTACTGTTTTCTGATTGTAATAGTGAGTGTAGATTCTTCCATTCTGGTGCAGGTGCAGCTACTGTAAATAATGTAAAACATAGATAGGAGAGCAAGGTTATTTAGAAACATCAAAATGGCTATCACAAGTTCAACTCCAAAACATTATCTAATCTTCGCTGATGACCTCAGTGCTACGTTGTCAAAGATACTATCATTTAGATGGGCTGTTCCAACCATGGAAATTGAAGGCATGGAAGGAGGCCATTCAGCCCATCGTGTCTGTGCTGCCATAAAAAGGACCATCCAGGCTGAACCTAACTTTTCAGTTAGTAGCATAACACTCTACAGCACTTAAAGTCCATATCCAAATATCCCTGAAATGCGGTGAGGGCTTCTGCTTTCATCAACCTTACAGCCAGTGAACCCCAGTCCCACTTGGAAAAATTTATTTTCTGTTCCCTGCTAATCCTGTATCAACTACTTCAGAAATGTTAAATGGGAGGGTTGAGTTGTCTCTTCAGGTTAAGCACAAAAACAGATGATTTTCAAACCAGGCATGACCTTGTATCTGATTTTTCCTCCTAGTCTGAACCATTAACCTCAGTATCTCAATTTAGGTAGATTGCAGGGCCATTTTAACCCAGGAAGTGGTACAGCTATTTCACTAAAGCATTTTCTTGTCTCATCTTCACAGAAATCTCTGGATTTTTGTCTCCAAGTTCACTGAATTTGATGCCAGAAAGTTGCATAAACTGTACAAGTTAGCACAGAAGAGGCGGTCCCAGGAAGAGGTAATGATAACCCAGTCACATTCACATTCACATTCACTTGATATTGCTCCACAGGAGTCCCATGCATTTCCTGAGTGTGATACTAGTTAGGAATGAGACTGAGGGACATAGTATTGCCCTACTTCCCTCTCCTGTCAGGAGGAGTTGGACAGACTTGGTACCATGCAATTTAGGAAATAGAGGATCTCAGACATTTAGATTACAGTCACGGGAATTCTTCTCTTGTTCTTGCTGAGAACAGAGACTGAAGTGAAAGGCAAAGCTTCCATCAGGAGTGTAACTGAGTTAGAATTGAGCAAACATGAAACATATTAGATCCTGAGGGAAATTGATCAGGGTAGATTTTGAGAACCAGGAGTCACAGTTTAAAAATAAAGGCTAAACTATTTAAGGTAGAAGTGAGGCGAAATAAGTTCTCACGGTGGGTGAGTCTTTAGAATTGCCTTCCTAAAGGCAGTGAAAGCAAAACCTTTAATTATTTTTAAAGCAGAGGTAGATAGGTTCTTAATGACGGACAGGATGAAAGATTACTGGGGAAATGCAGGCAAGTAGAGTTGAGATTAAAATCAGATCAGCTACGATCTTAATGAATGCTGGAACAGGCTTGAAGGGCTGAGTGTCCTTTTCTTGTTCCTAATTTGTACATGGACCATAAGAACAAGTGCGTTTCTCAAGATGTGTAGATGAACATAAGAAATAGGAGCAGGAGTAGACCATTCAACCCCTCAAGCCTGCTGCTGCCATTCTGTTAGATAATGGCTGATCTACCCCAGACCTCAGCTCCCCATAGCCCTCAACTTGACATTTCACAGATCTGTCTACACCCTATTTAAATAATTTCTGTGATCTAGCCTCCGCATCTCCCTGGAGTAGAGAATTCCAGACATTGACTACCTTCTGGAAAACAAAATTCCTCCACATCTCAGTTCTAAATGAGTGTCTTCTTATTCTGTAACTTACTCCCTAGCTTGAGATTCTCTCACAAGTGGAAATGGCGTAAGGGAACACCCATTTAAAACTGAGCTACAGAGGAATTTCTTCTCCCAGAGGATAATGAACATCTGGAATTATCTACCCAGAGAGTTGTGGTGGTTAGACCACTGAAAATATTTAACAAGGAGATAGGTAGGTTATTGAAATATCAGGGAGTTGAGGGCTATGTTGAACTGGTACAAAAGAGGAGGCAAGTCTTGGAGCAGATCAGCCATGATCTTATTGAATGACAGGCTTGAGGGGCTATAATTCTTGTGTTCTGATTGGTAGAGGGGTTACTGTGGGTCTTGCACCTAAGAATTGAGATTCAGATGGATGCAAGTTGGGGATATTGACTAACGTGTCTCCTCTTGAACAATACTCAAATTATTTCTTCTTCACCAAGCCTCTGTTGTTCTGATTTAATTATGTCCTCCTCCAAAATGCCGCTTTATCTAGGAAGAACAGAAGAAGAAGGAGAATAATTCAGAGAGTAAACGTCAATTTAAACTGGAGCCTTCGGGATCAAGTCGTGATTCCATGAATTCTCAGTCTCATGCGCAGCATGGTCCTCCTGCTCCTCACCTGCTCCCACCCCATCATCAACAACAAATGCATGGTCATCACCGGGAGCCCTACAACCAGCTCAACAAGCGGCCTTTCAACAATGCAGGTAACACATTGCCTTCACCCACACCCCCTCAGCCAACAGTGGGGAGGACTTAGTGCAGTGCTGGATACTTCGCAGCAACTCATTTGTCGCTGTAGGGCTCTCTACCCCATGTCAGGCACCTACCTTCATACAATTCCTGCAGTATTGAAACAGGCTATTTGGCCCATCGAGTCCAGACTGACCCCCTGAAGAGCATCCCACCCAGACCCACCCTTCTGCCCTATCCCTGTAACCCTGCATTTCCTTTCCCATGGCTAATCCACCTAGCCTGCTCATCCCTGGACACTATGGGCAGTTTAGCATGGCCAATCCACCTAACCTGCACATCTTTGGACTGTGGGAGGAAACTGGAGCACCTGGAGGAAACCCACACAGACAGTCACCCAAGACTGGAATCGAACCTGGGTCCCTGGTACTGTGAGGCAGCAGTGCTAACCACTGAGCCGCTGTGCTGCCCTATTTTAAATCATGTCGTAATTGCTAAGTCCTTCCGCAGAAGTAACAGTGTTTAGATAAACTTTTTATTGAGTCTTTTTCACCTGCTGTGCGGAAGCTGTGTTAACCGTCACTCCTGATATCTAAGCCTTGCATTCTCTCACTGGAAGGCCCGAGAAGGTTAGGAAGTAACACTGAACCCTGGCTCAGTTAACATGCTGCCCCAATCTGTGCTGGATGTGTAGGAAGCAGCCAGTACTCCCTTCAAAGCTGCATGCAGACGCAGTCATTTGAAGATTCCATGCTTGGCAATTAACATCAGCACATTGATTGCGGCATTGACTTGCAGTTCCGAGACTCTCTGCTGTGCACAGACCTTGGAGACCCACGCAGCTAGGAAGAAATTAGAGGGAATTAGGCTGGAAGCAGCAAGTCTGGCAAAAGCAAACGGGGTGTTGGTGCTGAACCAAAGGGGCCTCTGAGCTTCAGTTGGGAGCCTCGCAGGATTATTCAAGTCTGCCAAATGGCTTCCATCGAGGTGATAATTCTGTTGCTTGTTCTGCTTTAGATCGGGGAGACCGACAGAGGGATCGGATGTACAACTACAACAATAACCAGCAGTGGGGATCTGATCGGCATCATCCATATGACCAACACAGGTACAAGGACCATCATTTCGGGGACCGAAGGCCACGCGGAGATCCCCACAGAAACTCTGGCAATTACCGGCCAAACAACATGCACCGCAAGAGACCATACAACCAGTATGGCAATGAGCGAGACCACCGAGGTCACCGGGATTACTATGACAGGTGCCTTTCTTTTGCTTACTCGAGCAGTTGTGACAGAAACAAGTCTCTGGTCAGGTTTGTCAAAGGCAGCAGTGGCTGTGGCTTTGAGGCAGAGCCGTACTATGATAGTGCGCTAAAAGGCTTTGAAAACTGTTGACCCAAGCACGGATACCTCCGAGTACAAACTTTGCTGTGGAATGCACACTCTAGCAGCAGTCTCCTTTGATCTGTGCTGTCCCATTCATAATTTGAAGCACTTCAACTGTTTTAGCATAACACACCAACTTTGAAAATATTTTTTGTTTTGTACTTTCTCCTACCAGCCAGCAGTCTAGTGAATCTATGTACTCTCTAAACAGCAGCATACTTCCACCAGTGTGATGCCTAGTAGTCCACAAAGCATTGTAACAAGAGTTAAGGTTCGATACATACTCATCATTAATTCTTCATATTTCGTTCATGGGGTTTGAGATTTGCTGGCTATGTTGTCATTTATTGCGCATCCCTAATTGCCCTGTTGAGATCAACTAGAATCCAATTCAATTTTTTTTACATCCATTTAACGTCCTTTAAATTTATATTCACTAACCCCTCTGTGGTTCTACAATGTCGAGGTTCTCTCCTATTCACAGTATAATTAACATTCTAGCTCACTGCCATAGATGTTAAATTAACTGACCTTTAATTGCTTGAGTTACCTCTTTCCCCTTTCATGAATAATAGTTTCCCGTGTTGCCAATCTAGTTTGCTCCTCCATATTCACTTTTATTTGATGTTTTCTTCCCAGGAGGTTGATTACCATGGACTTCCCTTGAGTCAATCTCTGTTGCCCCCTTGTATGTCGCATAGCATCAGCTGTGTCCAGACCGTTCTACCTATCGTCCATTTTCTCCTCTTTCCCTCCCAACCAGTTTTTCAATTTTGTCTTCCAGTAACTACATCTGTCTACCTTTTGCCTTAATAATGTGACTATAGTTCTGTATCTTCTCTCTCACTGACGTTATGCACTACTGTCGTCCCCCCTCCAACTATTTTCCAGGACTGCCACTTCTAGCCTTTTTGTCTGCACATCCACTACAAGCCAGCCACAATGATATCCCTCTCGCCTCTCCGGTGATGGTCGAGAATCTGACTTTTGATTGTAGCTACACTTGGAACAATTCCTGGACACATTGATTTGGGTCATTTAAACCTTTATCCATTTCCTTTCCAGGCGTCATCAGGATCTGAAACGACGCAGATCAGATGAGTTTCGACCTCAGGACCACCACAGCCTAGGGCACCAACCAGATTTCCGGAGATTGCCTGATCACAGACCGCCCACGGCCTACCACAGCCAAGGACCTACTGAACACTATAGACCGTTTCACCTTGAAAAACTGATGGAGCACAAGGCACCCACGGGAGACCACCGTTCACCCCTCTCTCAGAAATCGCCACATGATTCGAAATCCCCTCTTGAGCACAGGTCCCCTCTAGACCGCTCACTGGAACACAAGAATACTCCTGACTATAACTGGAATGTAAGAAAAACGTAGAGTCTGTTCTGAGGGAAATGGGAAAACTGCTCCACAGTTCTCCAGTTTATGAATTCAAAAAAGACAACACACTTTTCCCTATTCTCACCACACAAACAAATTGAACGACTGCTGTGATATCAATTGCACAAAGAATGTGAAACAATTATGGAGAATGAGGAGAGATTTCTGCTGCTTGGACAAGAATGCTCGCAATTTGGTCCTTTCTTTATAAAAAGACAGCATCGGCATGGATATCCGATCTGTGCAATCATGCTCAATCAGGAAACCTTGTTGGTCAGGAAGGGAGGGGATACGTTTGGGCTTCTGGGGAAATGATAGCTGCTGCATTGTAGGCAGTGATTCTAACCATGTGGTAAAGGACAGTCCAAGGAGGATGTCAGCAGAGAGTGCAATTCACAAAAGATGTCATATCTCCTGTCAGCTTTGTCTGTTCATGGTCTCTGCCAAAATATTTCTATGTTTTATCCTAAATGTACGTGATGAATACTCTCTCTGTGCTGAGTAGTGTTGGGCAGGTCAATACTTTTTTCTAAGTAGTGTTCCAAAATCAGCAGTGGAACCAACTTGCGTTTCCACTCGCTAGCTAATATATAGAGAGCGGTACCAGTGTTGAGGCAGAGATGGGGGTGGCTGTACGTGTTACCCTGTCTTCCAGCACTACCGTTTTACATGCCCAAGAAATACCAAAAAAAGGGAAACGGGATGGTTTGAAATACTTCCGTAGATGCAGGTTTAGTGTCTCGTTAGGAGAGAAGGGAGGGCAACGCAGGGCAGGTGGGGGGATTAGCACTTTGTGTTAAGTACGTCTGCGCCTTTCTGGAATCTGTCTCTAGAATGTAGTGTTGGCATTTTACAGCAGAAGTATTAGAACTTTACAAACTGAAGAATCGCTAAAGAAAATATCAGTATCTTGGTTCTAATGGCCAGTCTTCACAATCCATAATCTAGAAGCTTTGTGTTGTACTCGGTCACAATGTAAGCACCTTGTTCTGTTTGTTTCCCCTCACCCTGCCTGCCCTGTCATTCCTTCTGCCTTGATTATTGTGGATTGGTCAATCCTCACAAGTAAAATAACCTATTTTTTTATGACTTTGTTCCAACCTGTGTTTGATGGGGTGGGGGTATAACTGTATCTTTAAAAAAAAAATGTGGAGAAAGGAGGAGTAGTTGAGCAGAGTGATAAGATTGGCTCTGTTTAGTTGGTGATTGGAGGATAAGTCTCCACGTGATGAGCTGTGCCATTGGATGTCAAGATGGCTCATCATCAGTGTTTAAGCTTAGGTTGTTGAATGCAGGGATGACTGCAGGATATCCTGAAGTGATGTCCTTTTCAGTGTTTCAAGTCATGGAGAATATGGCACTTTGTCTCTTTACACACCTTACGCGCACTCACACTGCCCCCTGCCCCACCTGGCTCAAACCAACACACTCTCCCATTATCTTGGATGAGGCATTTCTGATTAACAGATGAATCCAACTGAATGTTTTCACGTTTAACAAATAAAATCCTTTCTGATGGTTCCTCAGGTCCTTGCTTTTTCAAAAATGATTTTAACTGATTAAATGATTTTGAATTGGTATTTATTAAGTCACTCATGCTTTGATTCACAGAACAAGCTCAGGAATCTTCCTACTGTGCACACGTTTCAGCTGCATGTGGAAATGGTTAGTGTGGCCCATGTTCCTTTGTCTTTCTTCCACTGCAGCAGCATTTAAGAAACCAAATAACAGGAACAAGTTACACCTCAGTCATCAAAGATTAAATAAGATGTGCAGAGTTTGTTATAATCCCCAAATCACACTGCAAACAATAAAATGCCTCTGCACATATGATTTGAATTAAGTTATAATTAAAAATTCCCATGGAATTTAATTTCTTAAACTGTAATCAGACAGGTTTAACGGCTAGTGTATGCCAAAATTCCAGCTGGCCATTCAGCAGTTTCTTGGCCCTGAGGAAAAACTGCTGTGTTGAACACGGTGACAAGTGTCACAGTTGCTGCTTGTTCCCAGAGGGAAAGGGCCAGTTTTCAGGAGAGTAGGAACCCTGCATCAGCCTTCACTACAGTGCGCTCACACCTCGTGTGAACACAACCAGTATTCACGTGATCCTTTAATGTAGATTGCCCTGGTTGACAGTGTAAGGGACAACTTGTTTGGACAATCTGACAGGAGTTGAGCAACAGCTGTTCAAGATCATAGAATCCCTACAGTGTGGAAGCAGGCCTTTCGGACCATCGAGTCCACACTGACCCTCTGAAGAGCATCCCACCGAGCCCCAGCGTCGTTCCCCCCCCCCCGCCAACCACCACCACCACAACTCTGTAACCATGTATTCCCATGGCCAGTCCACCTAACTTGCACATCTTTGGACTGTGGGAAGAAACTGGAGCACCCAGAGGAAACCCATGCAGACACAGGGAGAATGTGCAAACTGCACACAGTCGCCCGAGGGTGGAATCTAACTTGGGTCCCTGGCGCTGTGAGGCAGCAGTGCTAACCACCTGGGCCACCATTTTCTCAAGTATGGTTAAGGATGGGAAATTCTCACCAGCAACATCCACATTCCATAGACAAATATAAAGAAAACCATTCACAGTTCTTTTGTGATATGGGCCTCTCTGTCTGCTATACTGAATCAGAAACATATTGATTTCATAGGCCAGTAGTTGTCTCCTGCTTGGTTTAATTATTTATTGGGCATTTTCCAAAATTAAGTAAAATGCCTACATTGGGAGACAGGCAGGCTGAAAGAATTTTCACCCCCTTCTGAATGGTGCGTTTATAGAATCCTTATCTGCTCCTAGGCCTCTGCAACCTGTCACTTCAACTCAAGTTGTTTTGTCTTTCCATTCTCAACAATTCTGCCCAGACAACAAATGAGTGGAAAACACTGCTCTCACACTGACACCCACCTGCCCAACTCTGTTTATTTATCTCAACAACCAGTTGGCAGATGTTCTAACACCATGTCCATTCAACATTTCAGTGAAGGCATGTAACTGATTTAATTACAATTCTGCCACTTTGCTGCATCACACCAAATAGTAAAACGTGTGCTTAAAGGCCACTGCCAGTTACCAGTTTACTACTGAAGGCATGTGTCCCTAGTAACACTTCATTTGAGGACCATTCTCTGCTCTGAAACATGCAAACCAAGTGCATCAGGGCATGGGGTCTACTGTTCCAAACCACTTCGTCTTGAGCCCCAGATTTTGTGCGCGCCATTCTGGTTTTGGGGTCTTTTTCACAGGAACAGAAGATTTCAAACGGAAAACTAGTGATTGGGGGTGGGGGGAGTTCACAGTAGGGGTGTCACTAGTTCCTTTAACTGGACCCTTTCACTTACAGGATTAACTGTAATGCTCTCTCCCAGTGTAATTATTGAGAATAAGATGACAGAACAATACCACATCCCATCTCTGACCATACTCCACCAAGTCGTTAGTCCAGAGATATGGGACAACACAAGTGCTGCTGTTGTCAAGGGCCAATGTTAGCTCAAAATGGAGAAGATTTGAGAGAGTCAAGATTCTGAATCTTGGTAGATTTTCATAAAAGAAGAATGAGAGTTGGGAAGTGTGTTACCTGTTGGCTTAGTTTATATTTACCTGCAATCATGTTGATCTCTGCCTTTATTTTTCAATGAAAGAATTATAATCAAGTTGAGAGTGGAAGAGGTTGAGCCGGTAGGACATGAGGTTTACACTTAAGGCTGTGCAGTAACTGTGCAACAGAACTGTAGCTGATGGCGTTGAGCAAGTAGGTGGGTATGCGATGAGCCTTTAGGTGGAAGAGGTGAAGGTGCCCTCAGTGGTCTGGTGCACAAAGAAATGTATGGATCTCACTATCATCAGTCAAGGCAGCACAAAGATCCCCTTGCTATCTGGCTTGTTGTTAGATCTTTTCTATCACGGGATTTGTAGCAGTGAACAGTGGGTACACTCTGACAAGTTTAGAATAGCAGGAGATGCTTCTGGAGAAAACTCATCAGTGATGAGGAAAACTTGGTGGCACACCTCAGCTGAAACTTGTTTTCCTTCTCATGGTGCTATCCCCGTGGAGTTGATGAAAACTGTACAGCATTTTGGTATAACATACACGCGCGCCCACAGAAGTGCAATAACTTGGATTAATTTTTATTGCTGAAAAGTTCTGAGACATTCTGTAGGGCAGACTTCCGTCGTGTGTGTCTAACCTCCTGCCCTGGAGATCTTCCACGTGTGTAACACACTGCTGCCACCCTTCCAATGTTTCCTCCGTGCATCAGATACAACATGAAGCTAGAGCAAGAACATGTTTCCCAATTTTAATTTTTTAAAAATCTTTTAATATATCTCCTGCCTCAAATTCTAAAGACTGCAAGAATGAAGGAGATGTTAAAGTGATGGAAGAAGACAAAAGAAAGTAGCTGCCAAAATAGTCCCACTAACGTTTTGTTTTGCTAAAAGGGTTGGTACAGAGTTTCTGTAAAACTTATGTGGACTTTTTAAAATGACTTTAAGAAAAAGTAAATATTAATTTATATTTGTGAAAAGGCCACTGTTAGTGCATTTTGGTGTAAATACTTTGTTTATAGTACGTATTAAATTTTCCTACACCTTAACCATTTGCTGTTCAGTGATTACTGTTTTCCTTTGTTTTAACATGGAGTATACTGGAATGGAGGACTGTCATTTATGGATTGTCTGTAATATCATTACAGAACTTGTATGGTGTTTTTGGACAGCCCAAGGCGCTTCACACCAACATTACCAAACAAAATTTGATACTGAGCCAAGTGATGACTAAAAACTTCAATAAGAAGTAGATTCCTCAGGTGCATCTCGGAGAGATGTGCAAATCTAGGGAGGGAATTCCAAAGTTAGAGCAGGGCTTTCCAAATGGGGTTGTCAGTTCTTAGGTAGTTAACCCCCTCCCCCCTGCCTTGATAGATCCCTTTCTACTTCCTCACTGTTGGGGCAAGAGAGTTTACAAGCCTTGAAATGGGGTCATAGAGGGGATGAAAGTTTGTGGGCCAGCAGTTAATCGGCCATATATCTGAATGCACAACCACTAAAGACAGAACAATCAAATGTGATGAGGTAAAAGATGTCAAAATTGAAGGATTGCAATGATCTCGAGAGGGTTGTTGGATTTGAGGAGATTAAAGAGAAATCATGAGGTGAGGCCATGGAGAGATTTGAAAACAAGGGTGAGAACTTTGCAATTGAGATGTTGGATTGGGATCCAATTTTGGATGTGATAGTGTCTATTGAAGTTGAATATCATGTGTTATATGCATATCCCTAGTTGATATGGGCAGGAAATGAACTACCTTCACTATAGTATTTGCTGCGACATGCTTAACATGATGTGGAAAGTGTCTACCAAGCCAGGAAAGTAAACTGGGAGTGATGAACCTAAATGAGAGATGAACTTTAAGAAAGAAGTGGCTGGGTCTAGGGAAAGAATACTACATGAGAACAGCTTTGCTGAGGTAAAGGATAGAAGTGTAAGAGGTTGGACCTAAAAGAAATTCTGATAATAAACAGGTCCGAAGCATCAAGAATGAATTCTTGATGGACTACAGGCTGTAACAAATTAGGAACAGAACAATGATGGTACTGCTGGTTGCAATGCAGTTGGATAAGAGGTAGATGCAACCTTCCAATGAACTGGACAGTAGGAGAGGGATTGATGGTCAATGGTGAGCTTAATGCATTAAATGAAGCGGTAAAATTGAGGAGGACATCAATAATCAATTTTGTCAATTATCAATCTCCTACCCAACAGGTAAACACGCTTTTGATATACTGAATTTGATTTGATTTATTATTGGCACATGTACTGAGATGCAGTGAAAAATATTGTTTTGCGTGCTAACCAGACAAATCATACCTTGCATAAGTACATCAGGGTAGTAGAACAGAATATGATGTTACAACTACAGAGAAAGATCAATTGTAATATGAGAGGTTCCTTCATAAGTCTGATAACAGCAGGGAAAAAGCTGTTAATCTGTTGGTAGATGTTTTCAAACTTTTGTATCATCTGCCTGACGGAAGAGAGTGGGACGGATCTTTAATTAGGTTAGCTGCTTTCCCAAAGCAGCAAGAAGCGTAAAGGAAGTTGGTGGAAGGAAGGCTGGTTCTCACGGTGGTCTGGGCTGCGTTCACAATTCTGATTTTTTTTGCAGTCTTGGGCAGAGCAGTTTCCATCTCAAGCTGTGATGCATCTGGATAGGATGGTTTCTAGGGTACATTTATAAAAAAAATTGTTGAGTTACTGTAGACATGCTGAATTTCTTTAACCTTCTGAGGCTGTAGCAGTGTTGGTGTGCTTTTTATGATTTTTCTGAATGGTTGTACTCTCGGGCACTTCTGTGCAAGCCTTGTGCCTTCACCTTCCAATGGTTGTGGTGGGACAAAGTGAGAAATTGCTGAATAAACTCAGCAGCTCTGGCAGCATCCAAGGAAAGAAACAGTTAATGTTTCAAGTCCAATAACCTTCTTCATACTGATCATAGCTAGGAAAAGTAGGTATCTAAGCTGAAGACAGAGCGTGGAAGGAGCAGTTAGGTGGATAGGGAGCCCAGAGACAGAGCAACAGTCAAAGGGATGAGTGACAGTATGCCAGAGAAAAAGAACAGCTGATATTGGGGACGATAAGTAAGTCTTCCAGCATCCACAGCTGTTGTATTTTAATGGTTGTGCTGGGGTTTGGTGAACTGTTACAGTAAGCTAAAATTGCAGTATTGGTTTTGCAGTATGATCACAGTCCAGTCTCTCTTGTGGGACTGTTATGTAGATGCTGAGCAAGCAGTGACAATGTGGGTAATTAGGAGTTAATATCACATTCCATCGTGTTGGGTGGTAGCATTGTTTGCCAGGCGTTCCATGCTGTGCTGAACAGCAGAGGGCAGATTGCTTCAGGTTACGTGGCAACCCAATCTCATTAGTCACAGGAAGCTCATTTCAAACTTTTGGAGTGTGAAAGACAGGAGAGGTTTCTTCTCTAGGCTTAGAGTCATGAATTGACAGCTACAAATCTCGTGTGGATTGCAATGATTCCCACAACATTCCCAGTGTCTGGACCACGCAGGGGGGAAATTTGCCAGTTTGATTGCCAGTCTGAGCCAAGAGCTGTCATGCATGATACAATTGACCTTGGGTTGTTGCCTCTATATCTCTTACTCTCTGAAACCCTCCTTTTGATCTGTGTTTGATCTAATTCTTGCCTCTTGTGCATTCCCCATTTAAATTACTTTGGTGATTGTGCACTTAGCTGCCTGAACCCAGAGCTTTGGGATTCCCTTACTGAACTCCTGCCTGCCTCCTTCAAGTTTATGGTCAACTACTACCTCTTCATTTTTCCCTGTTTTTGATAATCCACCAATACAGTTTGGACTATTTTACTTACATTAAAGAGGTAATGTAAACACAAGACATTTTACTAAAAGAGAAAAACTACCTCAATATGTTGCTCTCGAACCCTAACTAAAGAAGACCGTCTGACAACATGGATCTGTTCATTTCAGACAAAAATAAGATGAACGTCAACTGTGATGTTTCCAAGACCCCTCATATTTTTAATCAACCTGTTTAGACTTGTCATGACACACCTCTGGTGCATGTGGGACTTAAAGCCAGGCCACCCAACTCAGAGGTACAGACGTTACCGCTGCACCCAAGACACCCTTCCAAAATCTCATTCCGACTTGGATCACACCTCAAAAGAGCCTTTTGAGTAAAATGTTTCTGAGTGCCTCTGTGCAGAAAGAGCTCCAGGGCAAAAGTCAGGTAAGTCAACATTTTCTGGAAAAGGCAGGGGTGAAGGCTTCCATTAAACAACCAAAAGACCTGTGTTTCTATAGCACTGTTCATGCTTCATGTATCAAAGTGCTTTACATCTGTTAAGAGTTATAGGAATCGAAGCAAGCAATTTGTACAAAGCAAGGTCTCACAAAGCGCATTACCATAATGACCAGTTCATTGATGTGGAGGTGACGGTCTTGGACTGGGGTGGACAAAGTTAGAATTGCCACTTCACCTGACAAAGGAGCAGTGACCCAAATGTTTGTGATTTCAAGTTAACCTGTTGGGCTATAACCTGGTATCGTGTGTCTTCTGTCTTTATTGGTTTAATTGATAGAGTTTGAGGGGTAAATATCGGACTGGGGAGAATTCTACCGCGGTGTTTTTTTTGCAATAGTGCTGTAGTTTTTTTTTAACCTCTTAAATCCACTTGAGAGCTTTACTTTTAACATTCCATCAGAACACTGGCATCTTTGACAGTGCAGCACTCCCTTAGCACTGCACTGAACAGTCAGACTGCATTGTGTGCTCACATGGTTCTTGCAAAGAGACTTAAACCCATGAATTTCTGATGGGGTGGAGGAAGGAGAGGCAATTCCAGCCCCTCAGTGGTGCCTCGCTCTTAAGAACATTTTAAGGGGAGAATTCAATCACAACTTTAAAATAAACAACAGTTTTGTGTAGTTGAAATGCTTGGTGATTTTATGGATCTTTCTGATTCCCTTTGTTTCTGGTTCAGTGAACTAGGAAGTTTCTGTCAGTTCTGAAGAAGTCACTGGACTTGATGTTGACTCTGCTTTCTCTCCACAGATGCTGCCAGACCTGCTGAGTCTTGCCAGCAATTTCTGTTTTTGTTTTAGAAGTCTGCATTTCAGTACCCTGGGCTCAGCAGAATGGGTGCAAAATAGCACCAAACAGAGACAGTGGTTCTATAAATATCAGCTCATCAGTCAAACTCCAGTGGCTGAGATCCCTGAAGTATAAGGGATCAAGTTGATCTAAAAATACAGAGTGCTGGGTGTACGTTCAACAACACAGAATCTTTTATTTATTATTTTGCTGTAGTATGTTCCTCCAATTACACCGAGCGAAGATGCACTGGACCTATCAACTTCATCCTGTCCAGAAATACTGACTTCCATTCCTTCGATTTTCCAGTTTTTAAAAAAATTCTTTCTTGTGAATTGAATGTTTCTGGCAAGGATGTATTCATTGCCCATTCTAAATTGACACTTCAGAAGGCATATACCATTATATTCCCTTTCCAATCTTCACTTTTTTTTTCCTTAGAACTTCTGAATATGGATGAGACTGGGTAAAGACAGTAGGTGTACTTTCCTAGTGAAAAGGCTCGATTCAAAAGCTTGGATGCATTTCACCATTGCAAATGGATCATATCTTTGCTTATTTCTTCCAAGAGGATTATTTCAAGTAGCCATGACCTAAGTAGGTCTAGGACGGGAATGTGATTGCTTTTAAATGTGGCTCTCGCATAGCTCTTTTCCCCACGCATCTTAAAGGTGATTAGATGTCAGACAGAAACGAAAGCATTGGTGTGATAGATTCTTTGTTTCTCTCTCCACCACTACTTTGACTGCACTGCACTGACTTGATAGAAGTGTACAAAATGATCAGAGGTACAGATAGAGTGGACAGCCAGAGACTTTTTCCTCGGGTGGAGGTAGCTATGACGAGGGGGCATGGTTTTAAAGTGAGTGGAGGTAGATGTAGGGGAGACGTCAGAGGTAGGTTCTTTACTCCGAGAATGGTAGGGGCGTGGAATGCATTGCTGGAGAGGGTAGTGGAGTCA